TCTTTCAGTATCCTTCTGTAGGCCCACATTTCTGTTGCCTCCAGTGTTCTCCTCATCCGTGGGAAGATTGTCCAGCATCCACTGTCATATAAAGGGATGAATATCACATATCTTTTGTGATGTCAACGAACACTCGTTGCCACTTTTGTGATACCAACGAATACTCGTTGTCGCTTTCGTAATGCTCGTTGTAGTAGAGACTTTGTAATCGCAGATACAACTATAGTAACGCCGTTGAACAATAGTGTTGTCAGACGCCTTCGAATATCACTCGAACTGATAATACTTGCTCGAATAGTAATCCGTGTAGTGATCCGAATAGAGGAATAATATAGTGAATAGAGTAGAGAATAACGGTCAGTATAGTAATAGAGGATAGACTAGAAATGGAGATCCGTATAGTATAGAGGATAGACGAGGGTCACAGATCAATTAGACACACGCTAACTCCCGTATATGCGTTTTCCTCTATGGTCACGTGGTCTACTTAATTCAATTAGGGGATCGCCTGTGTTTGCTCACTGTGGGGGTCTACGTTCAAACTCAAGTGTCGGCAGCGACACTTTATTCCTATAGAACAATATCAATCCAGCACTTTTTCTTTGTTTCTAACGATTTTTTTTCTGTTTCTCGACATTTTGCATAGCTTTTGGAATGCCTTTTTTGATAATCTAATAATGATTTTTCGTGGGGTACGGTGTCGCATTTTCCATCCTTTTTTAAAAACACTTCCCAGATATTTATACTTCTGTACTTGTTTGAAGTCGACGTTTCTAATTCGTAACTCGTATCTTGGGATTTTTCTCTTTCTGATGATCATACTTCATGTTTTCTTGGGCACCTCGAAGTGGTGTAATGGTTAGCAAGCCTGTCTCGCTAGAACCACTGCAACTGAGTAGTGAATTAGATCCGCACTGGCTGATCCATACTTTCAGCCTTGTGCCACATCTAAACTGCGCTTAAAAAATCATCACACTTTATGTCTTCTTGCAGTTGATACCCAAGCTCTTTTTTTTCGATGCATCTCTTCCATTTACATTTCATATTGCAATATGTCCACAGTATAGCGTTTAGGTAAAAATTAGCATAATACAAACTTTAACTTCGCATATAAATCCAGGAGATATTGTGTGTCTTTTTTCGAAACAAATGCAGGCTTTGTATGCTATCCGACACGGTATTATTCAAAAGTTAATCATACTAGTTAAAAATTGGTCATAATGGTTCAATAAATAGGAAATCTTTATATCTACTACTCGGCGTAAAGAAAGAATAGAAATAATCCGAAAATATACTAGCCAAAAAAAATGAATAATAATTGGTAAGGATTCATCTAATAAATCCTAAGATTATTACATCAACGAGTGGGGGAAAGGTAACAGTCATGAGATGAAAAAAAAAAACGCCAAATCGAATATTAATGAAGTCTCATCTAAGAAAGACGGAGACGATTACAGAACATATTTGCTTTGTGATGAAAAAATGGAAGATAATGTTTTATCGTTTTGTAGCGAATTTTGAACAAATAATTATGACAAAACAACAACAACACAGTAACATTTTCAGCCATAGTAAAAAAAAAATAGTTAACATCCGAAGCACAACTGCTTCATCCAGTGTACCTCTTTCTGCCGATAAGTGAAACCAGCATCACCCGATTACTGCCTTCATTAAAATATTCTGCTGCACTTTTTGAATAAATCACAGTGTAAACGGACCTAAACTGCAAATTTTCTATTACAGTTAAACAGCGGATATCACAAGTAATATATATATATATATATATATATATATATTGATGGATTTATTTTAATCTCAAATTTTTAGTTCTTCAAAGTTATATTTAATAGAAAACCGTATTTGAGATAAAGACACCGTTTTATTTCAACATTGTTTATTACATCTATCGGACACTTGAGGAATCTTAAAGAAAATATGCCGGAGTAAAACGTTTAAAGTAATATAATATATATATATATATATGTATATTAAGAAAGGGAGTGAACGTGGATATCGGGATCGACACTGTTCTGTTACTATCGGTTTCATGCTTCAAAGATATCTTTAAAGTAAGTCTTAAATGTAGATTGTATTGAAACGTGAACCTGATAGTGACCAGGCAGTGTTTATCCCCATGCTCGCAAATTCTATATCTATAAACGCTCTATCTCCGATATTGAGCACCCGTATAAATATCGCAATTTTTAACAAATATATATATATATATATATATATATATATATATATATGATAGATACATGGGTGTGTGCGAGTTCGTCTAAATAACCCAGTCACTTAATATTGATGCCTTATTTCTCGTCAAAGTACTCCCCTCGAGATCTCACACAAAACTCCCCCAGCAACACTTCTCTTTTTAAACCAAACTGTAAAGTCTTCTTTAGAGATCGGCATCAGCTGACTTCTTGTGTTCTCCTGCTCGCGACGTGAAGAATGCGCAGACGAGATATTCAAAAGGGCTGGATACGATAGGAAATAATGAAAGAAAAGGAAGATAGAGGAGACGATAACGTTCTCATGCGTTTAACGTCTGCGTCAATGAAATAGAAAGCCTAATCCATTTTGAATCTTTATTTCTACCCTCTTATTTCTTTAAATCTTAATTAGCGTTTATATTTATGATTGCTATTGCAATATTTTTGTTAAAGTGGCTATGCTTGTATATGAAATGATGGAATACGTGAATTTAAGATTTTATAGTCGTGGAACTCGTAAGGAGATTATTCAATCATTATATTAAGAATTAGGATTCCTAAGAAAATTAAAATAGAAAACCATGATATTTTCACGGTGACTGCTAGTGACGTTTAAATTTAGGACGAAGTTATTACTGCGAATGAAACTTGAACTTGAGTCTAGATAGTTCGTCAGGACGTGAGACAACGTCTTCCCATTTAGGCCAACAGAACTGTTTTTATTATTATTATTATTATTATTTCTAATCTTTTTTTCCTACCGACTTTCTGATTTTATTCCACCTCCCCAAAGACAAATATGTCTATAGTTTATTTTAATTAATTCCAGACATTTCCCCTGGAATATTTGAAGAATTAGAGACCCAAAAATGTTTATTGCAAAATCCTGCAATGTAATAAATACGACTTAATAGGTCTCACGAAATTATACGTCTCTCAACATTTGTAGGAGAATGCATATATATATATATATATATATATATATATATATATATATATATACTGTGTAAGTATGTTTAATATATATATGTTTTATGTACATAAACGTACATATACACATAATATGTATATATATATATATATATATATATATATATATATATATCTCCAGACACACATACAATAAACATGTATTCATATTTAAAGACGCATACACATATACGCACACACATTTTTATCACTATAAACGTTATTTTTAGTGAGTACCCATATTTGGGTACACGCTCTATTTCTGTTAAACGGCATTTTATTTTAGTGTATATATATATATATATATATATTTTATATTTTAGTGTATATATATATATATATATATATATATATGAAAGAGAGAGAGAAACATAAAATAAATTTGAAATTGCAACTGGAGTCTTTAAGAATAGTTCTTTAGTGTTACTTTACCGGTTTCAAAATTTCTTTTTGTAAATTGAGATGTGGCTATGTCGTGATATGTCTTGCAGATGAAAGTTAAAGTTACTGTAAATAAGACCTTTTAATGACACCAGTTGATTTTTAAATTGCTTTTGTTATATCTTTATATCGTGTGAGATATATAACTTACATTCTGTGTGTGTGTGTATATATATATATATATATATATATATATATATATATATATATGTGTGTGTGTGTGTGTGTATATGTGTGTATTTATATTTATATTAGCCCATAATTATAGAATATATTAAAATATATTTCCATCATATATAGAATATATATATATATATATATATATATATATATATATATATATATATATATATATATGCCAGAGTAAACAAGAACCCCACCTCACGAGGCGTTAACAATTACACCATACGCTCACCCAAACATACAGCACCTGGTATTCCCAAGCGCTGGCCACACTCGATGTTGCGTGACATCGGTGATCGCACTAGAACTGGTGTTTCAACATAATATTGCCGTAAGCCGGTGGTGCCTAGAGCCCCAATGCCTGTATTGAATTTTAATGCAAATAAAACTCAATCCAGAGCTTTTATGACGTGCATCCTTGAGTGACTCATTTTCGATTGCAAACCTCTTTAGCCACTTTGGAGCTGTAGTTTGCTTTTCCGAAACACCCGACATATTCGATAACATATCTCTGATACTTTTGTTCCAAGATTAAAATCATTTCCTAGACACACGTTCCCACAATCATTTTGGAGCTGACATGTTAATTTCACGCGTTTCTACAGTAGATAAAGTCTTTTGAAAATTATCCGGTCGTAAACGATGTGTGTCCGATTTCCTTTGACCGGAAATGATTTTGACACAAAGTCAGAATTGAGAGAATGACACTAAGCGAAGATCTCATGCTGCTACCATTATCTGGTTTGCGAACTGAGATCAATGTGTAGTATCGGACAGTGCGCACCTCAGTTGCTTTGATATGAGACTCATGTTTTAAAAGGGTATTTTAAGCTTTAGAGGGTATTTTTTTTTATTTTTAAAGGGTATTTTAAGCTTTAAGCACGCGATTATAACAGCGTATTAGACGCGGCGTATGTTTTTTTTTTTTTTTTTTTTTTGAAATGTGCGTTTTATCTGCCGGAAAATAGGGTGAGCATTTTCATCAATCCCTTAGACATTTGGTTTGAAAGAAATGATGAAATCAGTAAACAGCTGAACAAGCCAAACGCAAGAGAAATGATGTTGTTGGCGGTGAGGGTGAAAGAAAAGTAAAAGGCGATTCCCTCTTTTGAGCTCTCTTTGTCTGTCAATCATTCTTTTTAACAGGCTGCATATTTATTTTTTAAAATATATAGAACCGACAGCCATATTTTTATGAGCACAAATGTAAGAGTTTTATGTATATAGCTGTTGGCTATTCCAGTGTTATTTCCCAGTTTCCTTTGTTTATTGCTTTTTTTAAATATATTTTTTTTATTTCGGTGACCCGACATCAATACAAACTATGACCCACATAAGCTTTTATTCCATTCCTTACCGTCCCAACCGACTCAAGAAACTCTGATACACACAAATGTCTCCAAACATTACATGAGGACTGATTTGCCTTCTAAGCTTCCTCCTCCTGCTGTTCATATTTCCTCCGACTCTTCTTCTACTTTATTCTTCTTCTCCTACTCTTCCTTCTCTTTATTCATCTTATCCTACTCTTCCTTCTCTTTATCCTACTCTTCCTTCTCTCTATTCTTCTTATCCTCTTCCTTCTCCTCCTACTTTTCCTTCTCTTTATTCCCCTCTACTCTTCCTTCTCTTTATTCTTCTCCTACTCTTCCTTCTCCTACTCTTCTCCTACTCTTCCTTTTCCTTCTTCTTCTTATTCCCTTCCTTCTCCTACTCTTCCTCTTTCTCTTTATTCTTCCTTCTCTTTATTCTTTCCTTCTCCTTCTCTTTATTCTTCTCCTACTCTTCCTTCTCTTATTCTTCTCCTACTCTTCCTTCTCCTACTCTTCCTTCTCTTTATTCTTCTCCTACTCTTCCTTCTCTTTATTCTTCTCCTACTCTTCCTTCTCTTTATTCTTCTCCTCCTCGTCATATTCTATTTTCCTCACTCTTCCTTCTCCACACTCTTTCCTTTTTATGTCATCTTTATGCATTTCCCTACTCTTCCTTCTCCTCCTTATAATTGCTATGTTTCTACTCTTCCTTCTCCACATTCTTCTCCTCCTATTTCATCGTAACTACTTTCGCCACTCTTCCTTCTCATCTTAATTCCTCTTCTATTTTTCTATTCTTCCTTCTCCTCCTCTTTCACCTTACCCTCTCTATTTCCCTACTCTTTCTCTTCTTTCAGATTCGTCCTATTTTTCTTCCCATGCCAAACCTCTTCCTAATTCCACTTCATTTTTCCGATTTTCCCACTAATTCCCTCTCATCCTACTCTTAATACCTCTCTTTCACTTCATTCTTTTATTTCAGTTTTCTTACTCCTCCTTTTCTCATAATACCTCTCTCCTATTTGTCGTCTTCTTTCATTTAATTCTTCTCCCTCTATCAATTTTCCTCCTCCTCCTCCTAATACCTCTCCTCTTCCTTCGCGTCTTTCTCCACCTCCTATTTGATTCCCCACCGTCAATTTTCCTTCATTTTAATTTATCCCTTCTATTTTTCTACTCTTCCTTCTCCCCATTCTTCTCATTTTTCACAACTCTTTCTGTTTTCACATTTTACACAATTTGTATTCTTCTGACCCATTGTTCCACCATCTTCACCTCCCCATATTTGTCTTTCTTTTTTTCTCTCTTCGGCGCCAAATTCCCACTCAAATTCATCTTTGTTCTAGACATCGTCCTCATCCTCTTCATATTTCATCTGTTACTCCTACTCCTCATATAGTATAGGCATTCCTCATCAGATTCCCTCTTTCCTCTATTTCTCCTCCTACCCAAACTCTCAATGCCTCCCTTATATTTCAGCTCTTTATGATCGCTATCCTTGCATTGATCGTCATATTTAATTTCTTGTCCTCTCCATAGTTTTTTCATCTTGTTTTATTTTTTCTTCTCCGACTCATTGGCTCCTATCTCTTTTCCTCCAACTGAACATCTCTCTTCTTACTTTACACCCTTTCATATTTGCCTCTCCTTCTTCTCTTCTTTATTCTTATGCACATCCTCATCTTCTTTTTGGACCCTAAAGTTTCCTTTTACTTAAGGAAAAACAAACAAACAATAAAAAAAAAGCCTAGTCTGTTTTTCGTTCTAACCACTCTTTGTCTCTCCACATACTTCATTTATTTGTCTTCCTTTATCGCCACCAATTCTTCGTTAGCTTGCCGAAGTCCCAGTTCTCAAAGTTGATGGATCTGACAGTGGTGTGTAAGACATGCTTGACTGACTACCGAATCAATGGCCGCCTATTTGATGCGAAAGTGGCGGGAATATTTACTTCGACTTTTCTTCCAACCCCGTAACCTTCCCCACCCGTTCAAGTCTCACTTTCTTTCGTGATATTCTTACAAGATCGGCCGAACTGGCTCCGACCTGCCTACACCACACTTGTCTTTGCGCTTTATTTGCATCCTTTATAAATATATATATATATATATATATATATATATATATATATATATATATATATTGACTTTATTTCTTTTTGTATGTATGCACACACTTAAATCTCTTTCTATCTCCCTCACTCTCTTTCCTTCTCTCCGCCTCAATCTCTCTCCTCTCTCTACATACACATACACACACACACATATATATATATATATATATATATATATATATATATATATATATATATATATATATATATTGCAGGCAAGGTGAAGTAATGGATAGAGATTCGGATTGGAAGAATCGAATTCGAATTCCAAACGAGTTCAGTCCATTTACTTACGTAAAAATACAATTTCGAAATGTTTGAATCCATTTTCCTCCAGTTATGGATAAATAGCAGACGAGACAAGCGTGGGTGTCAAACGGCCCCGGAAAAAGAACAACTCTGAATTCAAAATGTTTGGGGACCTTTTGCTATATTATATGCACCAGTTCTCTGTACTTGACTCTTCCAAAAAGTGTGGCTATAGTTCTGCACAAACCTTCACCACGTTAATCAAATCATATGTGCGAGTAAGCTGGCTGTTCGTTTCTAAGACTTGAGATGCTAGACCCGCATACGTCGAAAGCCACGTGTGAGTTCATATAGATAGACAAACACACATTTGTACATAGTATAAATATGCACACATACGAGGGGTGCTGATAATTTCTCAGCTTCACCCATTTACCAGAAACTAACCAAGCAACAAAATTTTAATGGGGGATCCTTTCTTGGTTGCGCTGAGAAAGTTTCAGCAGCCCCACAGAATACAAACATAGATACACAACTAAATAATTTTGTATTCTCATGCACAAATAATTCAAAATAGTGTCAAATATAATAATTTGATGAAGCTTTCCACGCATATATATATATATATATATATATATATATATATATATATATATGTGTGTGTGTGTGTACGTATATACACCGATATCTATGCATATTTACATTCTCTCTCTCTATATATATATATATGACACACACAGATATCTATGCATACTTTCATTTTCTTATTTGTATATGAAAGTGGACATTGAGGTCAACACCCAGCAGCGACAGTCTGTTTCATGCTTTAACGCAATAGTTAGACCACAGATACACACAATATATATATATATATATATATATATATATATATATATATATATACAAACTAAAAAGAAAAGCTCACCATCGATTCGAACAAATACATTATTAGTTTCTCGAGTGATTAAAAGACTGAACCGTAACCGCATGGCTCACCCGAAGTTGACGAGACAAAACAGCTTTTTCCTGTTCCTCTCCACAAAAGTGTGTTAAATCAATTTTAAGACGCTACCCACAAAACTAAATATCGGACACTCAATTTACAGCAGTGAAAAAAAAACTCATCTGAAAATCAATGTTCATTTTAGCTTTTCATATATATATATATCCCTCCCCCATCTTACATCCTACAAGAACCAGCTACAGCCATATAAGCTTGATGGTATACAGAAAACGCCATGGATATCGAAGTCATTGGGTTCATTGCTCAGACTCCCTTTCAGAGGTCAAAGGGAAATTCACTGCACGAACAAATTGTCCCTTACGTCCCTCAAATCCTAGATTTTTCCACCATTTTTCTGCTATTAAAAAAAATATCTCAAATCTCCCTGCGTCTTATACTAAGAAAACTGAGTTTTGGGTTACATTACAAACATCTAAACAATACTGTTTGTTTACTGATTGCCTAGATTAAAAATATGTGATCTTAAAAAAACTAAATTATGATAACAAGTCAAAATAAATCTGAAAAATTAAAATAAAATTACATATAAGCACCATCACTTTTCGTTATTTATGTGTGTATCATACGGTGGTCCCTATAAAATGGCGGGATATATCGTAATTCTGTCAGCCATTTTGTTTCATATCGAATAAAAATACACCTTGTTAAATCATGTTTCTCTTTAGAATAGTGTTTCTTCTTCATACAAAGTCGTATACTGGTGATACTGGTATGACTACCGAAATAACAGCATGAGTAATTATATTTTTATTGTTTTTAGTCATTCTCGCTTTGCTTCGAACGAGAATAAAAGATTAAACGAAGTATTCGTCTTTTCCTTAGTGAAATTATCTGATGATTGTACAGCCGGTAGTATCCAAGTAAAATCTCTCATATTACTGCGGAAGTTGATGCCAACATGCCATTTGCCGGTTCTACTCTTTCTGGCTCAGTGCCGGTCGGTTGAATATTCAATCTCGATTATCTCTCTCTATCTCTCTATCTTCTCAGTCTGTCCCTACCTATCTCGCTATTTATCTTCTCAGTCTCTTCCTATCTATCTCGCAATCTATCTTCTCAGTCTCTTCCTATCTATGTATCTATCTTATCAGTCTGTTACTATCTAAGTCGGTATCTATCTATCTATCTATCTATCTCAGTCGGTTCCTATCTATCTATCTCAGTCGTTTGCTATCTATCTCTCTCTCTCTCTCTCTCTCTCCCATGTTCCTATTTATCTTAGTCTGTTCATAATATATATATATATATATATCAGTTTGTTACTATCTATCTCTTTCAGTCTGTTCCTCTCTATCATTCATTTCATCTTCCATTGGTAAGAAAGAAGTCCCATTCGGACAGTTTTTTCCCCAGTTGCCGCTACGGAAAAGAATCCTGAGAGGATCCTCTTAACAAATTCTAGTTTAGGGTCAAATTTTACCTACCATACGTATCCTCATATTTCTGCATTCCCACTCCTGTTAATACAACAAACTAATGCAGTAACACTCTACCTTGAGTAGCTCTTGAGTCTCGTATTGGGCTATGATCTATCTATCTCTGACAGGGGATATAAAAAGCTTGGGTGTGTGTGTTAAAGGCAAAGAGAACGCACAAAGGTCAGGAAGGAAAACAGAAAACTAAAAGAAAACAAAAAAAAAACCGAATAAATGAAAAAAAGAAGAAAGTGAAAAAAAAGGATGCAGAGAAAAAAGGAAATAAGAAAGAAAGTGAAAAGGAGAGAAAGTAGAAAGAGAAAAGAACGGAGAGAATAAAGAGAAAGAGCGGAAGAAAAAGAGGGAGAAGAAAAAGGAAAAACGTAAAGAAGAAGAAAGAAAAGAACGAGTAAGCGAAGAGGCTATGAAGAAAAAGAAAAGAAGAGGAAGCATGAAGAGTAAGTGAAAAGTGGAATAGGAAGAATGAAAAACGAAAAGAGGGAAAAAGAAATAAGCATAAAGAGAGAGAAAAGAAAGAGTGAGAAAAAGACGCTGACAAAGAAAGAAGAAAAAATTGAGAAGGAAGAACAAGAAAACGAGAAGGTATTGAAAAGAGAGAATGCAAATAGAGAAGGCCGTTATCAAAATCAAGGAAATATTTAATATTTACAAAGCCTTGGTCGAATCACTAGAACATTGATTAAAAAAGTAAGAAAAATAATGCTAACGTAACTTTTCAACCAATATGACATTTTTCAGGTGTACTATCCATATGACAAAAAGGGTCCTTTTCAAAGTTTCTACATTTGGAACGAATTAATGAGGCTTTGAATAAAGAAGTTTAATTCTTAAATACACACATATTTATGTATGCAGACATTCTTTAATATGTTTTTCTTGCGAAGGCTGATAGACAAAATAAGGACTGTTTCAAATTAACTGGACATCTACTCAAATACAGGTATCCACTAAAAGTAATATATGTCGAATTAAAAAAAATAAATGCTTTAGAACTTGCTTCCTTTACGCTTCGGATACGAAACTGAGGAGATATGCGTTTCGAGAAAAATATGAAAGAATGAGTGCGATTTAAAGGCAAACTACTAACTTGCTTCATTGTGAACCTCTTCATAGCCGAGCGGTAAAAGCTCGTTGGATTAGATGGCGATTCCTCTTGCAAAGGTGGACGCCGGTTCGAATTCTGCCGATTCTCTAATATGTTTTCTCAAGTACACAATCCAGTAAACGAAATAAATACTATTGAAAATAATTCGTCTTCTGAAATAATAACGTTTATATATATATATATATATATATATATACGTTATATATATATATATATATATATATATATTGAATTAAAATATCTATAAATTAGAATAAACCTGTAGCATTAATTGCCAAGGTTAGGCGCTGACAATCAATCCCATCTCCAAGCGGCCGACAAACAAACGCCTCGACACATTTGGGTCTAAGGAAATATTTTCAAACATGTTAGGCGGTACATCGAAGAGACCATTCAACAAGACTTCACGTCCCCTCGAGCAAACAATCGCATTTGGGGGCGCGGGGAGGAGTATCGCCTGGTATAGGGAGTTAGGACCTACAAATAGACTCCTGTTCGTTTACTACTGTGCCGACAATCCTTAGATCCCAATGTCTTTGCCTTGTTGGTACATGGGCCACCAAGAATTTAGAAATAGTATCACTCAGTAGGGGACATTTACCGAAGTTATTTGTTCAGTTAGGGGGCAAGGAAAAACGTGAGAAGGTGGGGTAGTCGAGGAGGATTCTGGTTAAGTAAGAGGAAGTTTAGAATATGGGTGTGCTCGGAGAGAAAAGGGGAGATGGAAAGGTTTGGAAGGTAGAAAGAAAGAGGGGAGAGAGAGAGGAGGAGGAGGAGGAAAGGATAAAAACAAATCGAAAGAATGAGAAAAGGAGGGGAAAGAAGTGAAATAAAAAGAGAAAAAGAAAGGAAGCAGGAAGATTCGGGAGGAGAAAAAGAAAACTAAAAGGAAATGAAAAAAAAAAAGAAGAAATAAATAAAAGGAAATGAAAAGAGGAGGAAGAAGAAAGATAAAGAAAAATGAGGAAGCAAGAAAGACAGTGAAAAGAAGGGAATGTAGAAGGAGAAAAATAGTTTGGGAAAAGAAAAAAAGGAAGAAAGATGGAAGAAGAAAAGCGAAATGAGAGAGATAATTAAGCGTAAAACAGAAAGAAGGAAGAATAAGCAAAAAGAGGAAAAAGAAGAAAGAATAAGCAAAAAGAAGGAGAGAAAGAATAAGCAAAAAAAGGGAGAGAAAGAATAAGCAAAAAGAAGGAGAGAAAGAATAAGCAAAAAGAAGGAGAGAAAGAATAAGCAAAAAGAAGGAGAGAAAGAATAAGCAAAAAGAAGGAGAGAAAGAATAAGCAAAAAGAAGGAGAGAAAGAATAAGCAAAAAGAGGAAGAGAAAGAATAAGCAAAAAGAGGAAGAGAAAGAATAAGCAAAAAGAAGGAGAGAAAGAATAAGCAAAAAGAGAGGAGAGAAAAATAAGCAAAAGAGGAGAGAAAAGAATAAAAAAGAAGGAGAGAAAGAATAAGCAAAAGAGGGAGAGAAAGAATAAGCAAAAAAAGGGAGAGAAAGAATAAGCAAAAGAGGGAGAAAAAAGAATAAAAAAAGGAGAGAAAGAATAAGCAAAAGAGGAGAGAAAGAATAAGCAAAAAAGAGAGAAAGAATAAGCAAAAAGAGGGAGAGAAAGAATAAGCAAAAAGAGGGAGAGAAAGAATAAGCAAAAAGAAGGAGAGAAAGAATAAGCAAAAAGAGGGAGAGAAAGAATAAGCAAAAAGAAGGAGAGAAAGAATAAGCAAAAAGACAGAGAAAAGAAAGAATGAAAGAAAAGACGGTGAGAAATAAAGGAGAAAAACTTAACGGCAAAATCTATGTTCGAAATCGCTAGACGGAATTTATATTAATTAAATTGATCAGAAAATTCTACTTCTATTTTCAAATATTTATTTTTTTGAATTTGTAGAAACACCGAAAAGTTCTCGAACTGACCAAAAAGAGATTAAAAATAACAGAATTCTTATTTTTTTGTTCATTTGCTGAAAATTTAAAAAACGGATCGAACCTATAACCTTTCAGCATCCTCTCGTTGTAACGTTGTTTCCGGTTGTTTAGTTCAAATCAAATCAGATTGACTGTTGACTAGATCTCATGTAACATGCGGTTAGATCAAACAGTTACAACACTATGCTCCCAAACACAGTTGCATACACCAAGATATTTAAAAACTCTCAATGAAACAGCAATTATGAATAGGGGCCAAGAAATAGGAGAAAATTTTGGGGAAAAAAAAAAAGAAGCATAGAATATAAAAAGTATCAAAGAAAGAAACTAAGAAATATTAAAACTCAAAATGGCAGCACAATAAATTCTTCTTCGTTTACGTGTCGTGTCTCTTCAGAACGTGGGAGATGAAGTTTTTACTCAACTCTAAACAAATTCTCGACTACCCACCCTGCATCCCTACAAGTCCAAGCTTGTTAGGTACATTACACGCCGTATCCCTCTGACCATCCTGACTCCAATATATCATGTTAGTGCAACATTTATCTAAGCCCTCTTTCTACACTATGTGTCATAGAAATTTTTTACCTTCGCTTTCTGTATGTATGGGAATATAAGAGACTTTTGTTTAGTTTTATCTAAAAAAAATTCCTCGGCGCTAACATGACCCAGTCTCAGGTGGTATTAGCAACCCTTAATTAGGCAAACTTCAGAACTTAAAAAATTACGTACCTGTGCATATTCATGTTAAAATCGTCATCTTTCATTCGTCCTAAATTATTTATTTAGCTTCTTTTATTTCTTTTGGTTTTAAAGAGGCGTCAATAAATGAAACGTTAGATATTTTTCCTCATTGTTGTTATACATCAAAGCTTCATTAACGAGATTTTTGTCAAAAGGAGACTTCCTTTTTGTATACATTAAACCATTTGGTCGCCAACACACACACATATATATATATATATATATATATATATATATATAACTTCGTTTTGGGGTGGGACGCTGCATAACGCTTGACACGTGTCGTGGGCACGCGTAAACTCAGAATACAACCTAACAAAAATGCCAATAAGTAGTAATGGCCGCTTAGATTAAGCGCGCATGTGTATTGTACCTTGTGTGTGCGCGCTCTCTCTCTCTCTCTAATCAACTCTGCATAAGGTTGTAAGCATGCAGGTTTTTCTAAGCCATTATTCGATATGACAATAACTCTATAAAAAAAATGAAGGGCTTTAACACACATGTGGCCTTAACATCAAAGAAAATTGGTTATTACCACTAACGTCCTTGATATTAAAGGCCAACTAACGCCAGCTCAGCCGACACCCTACAGTGAGGTGTATAGAACCCGGAGCTGAACGCAAATGCAAGAAGTGAGAATGAAGAGATGTTTTTTTTTTTGTTTTGTTTTTTTTATTATCCATATTTTTTCAATAATACCAATGTCCTTTTATTATTAATTTCTCTATATTTGCTATTTTTATCATTATTATTATTAGTAGTAGTAGTATATCTCTCAATAACATTTATTTCAGTAATAATGGAAACAAAATATTAGTTCGATGCAAATGTTCATGGCGCAATCGTTTACGCAATATTAAGGAAATCGCAGGAGTGTATGTGAAGTAATATTAGAAAGAACTATAATATTTAGTGGACTCGAAAAGTCTAACTTCCAGAAAATCTGACTTAAGTGAAAGATTTTATAACTTTCAATCGAAAGTAACAATGTTGCTTCTGTGGATTGATGTCAACACCCAGAGGTGACAGACTGTTTCATGCTCAAATGACGTCGATTGCGCTTAAGCATGAAACACACTGTCACCTTTGAATGTTGACTCCCAGAAACCCCTTGCATCTTAGTGGCATTATTGCCTTGCGTGGGGTGAATTAATTAAAAAAATATAAAAAAAAATCCGTATCCTACATAGATGCGTGTGTAAGTGAGCACTCAAGTGTGTTTGTTAATGGAACCTTAAAAGTGTCTTTAAAATGTACACACACAATGTGTGTGTGTGTGTGTGTTTTGTAAACAGTGTGGAGATAAAGTTCGGCATCGAATGGCGATAATTAGTTTCATGAATGAACGCGGGAAAGAGACCGTCGCTATTCGGTGTTGATCTTTGTGTCCACACGTCTTATATTGCCACACACTCTATCCCGGATTTTGAGCACTTTTACCCTATAAATATAGCATAGCTTAAAACTGTATTTTATCATATCATAAATACACAAGGAAACCTACCAAACTGCGTCCGCAACATACTCATAGAAAATACAACTATAATGGCCTCGTCCACATTTTAAAAAAATGTCTAAAATAATGGAAGCATTAACAATAAAAAAGTTAACGCCAACACTCAATATCAACTATGAACACGGCCACAATGTGCTGACCGTATTTGGAAAAACATTCCCATCACTATAGATAAACTGTTATAAAAATCTACATATTAAGCTAAAAATTAAATAAAAACTTTAATAATTCCTAATCGAATAACCGAATGCTATAAAAATAAATGTATATGAATAAAATATTTAATAAAAGCTATATATATATATATATATATATATATATATATGAAAAAATATATACGGAAAAAACAAACAAAAATCCTTATATACAACTATAACTATTTTAATACAATATGACAAAAGACGTTAATGTCTAATAAACCATCTTTAGGAATATGTCCTGAAGATAACATTATCAATACAAAATGTCAAAGACGATACGTTGATGTATATTAACATTAAAAAAATATAATTGTATATAAGTATTTTTGTTTGTTTTTTCCGTATATATTTTTCTTCATACTCTCGGATCTATATCCATATATTTGCTTATATATATATATATATATATATATATATATATATATATATATATCGCAAGAGAGAGAGAGAGATTAGAAATTTCAATTGTCAGAAACGTTAACTATTCGGTTAATAAACACTGAATGTTCGCCTGTATGGAAACGACTATTTTTATTATTACTAATTGTTTCCTAGGATACCTTGCCAACTATTTCGACTTGATAAACTTCAGGATAAATGACAGTATTCCACGAATCCACAAATTGTTCTGTTCTCAGCCGAGAAATTTTTGGCTTTCCAACAAGTCAGGACACAGGGAGAACTGAATGAAGTTCGTGTATCTTTTGTTAAGCTAATAAAGAGATTAAAAAAAAACGATTACTAACAGAGAAGAGTTTTATCAAGCAAAAGAAAACACGTCTTTCTATTGAAGAGGGAGAAGAATCGGCGTAAGAGTTCAATGACTTATCATCGTTCTAAAAAGCCACGACGTAAGTGAAGCGTAATATAGTTTTTTTTTTTTTTTTTTTTTTTTTTGAAAATCTTGTAAAATAAAAGTCAGTAAAATGAGGACAAATTTGGTGGACAAAAACAAGATAAAATAAAATAAAGCAAATAAATAAAATTTTTTTTAAAAATTCTCATACTCTCCTGGTGAGTTCAAAGTACAAAAGTGTCACCCAAGTGTATTATTTTCTAGCCATCCACCCACCCACATCTATATTTAGTTAAGATTAGCACAAAAAACTTTAGAGTGGAGAGAAAAGAATTGTTTTAATTTTATTTTATTTTTATTTATTTATTGTTATGGGAACTTACCTATAACGATAATGGACTCTTCCTGACACTATAAATACTGCGCCTCTCAAGAGGTATAATGAATGAATGGTGCAACCAGCACCAGTTCATGACTGTTAAACTCTCCGCTTTGGTAGAGAGGAACCCGGACGAAGTTTTGCCGAAGGGTAAGGTTTCGTCTTGGGAGGTAGACAGGCCCTGAACCCGTCTAGGCGGGTTCAAAGGGTATATTTTTGACCGAGCCTACGGGCTCGGAGAAACCCACTTTAATCTCGGCCTCGTGCCACATATATTCCTCGTGGGTGGGATATTAAATACAATGAATGGTGTAACGAGTCGAGACAATATTCACTCTAAACCAGACAGACAGTCATTACTAACACCTTCAACTTCTTGTACTATATTTCTTTTGTAATATATCTGTGTTATTCTACTCTTGTGTTCGTGTTGTTCTTCCTTGGTTCTAACCTTGACCATAACTGTGGTGCAAGGATATTGGCCCATAACATTTATTTATTTATTTTTTTGCTTATTGTTATTAGGTTTTGAATCAAACTTTTCCATCTTCACAATTGTACCAGACATCATAACAAACGATTCACTAAAAAAATCTATCACGGTCAACTGGTGCATGTATCTGGAATTTGATTGGTCAAACAATAAACCTTTATAACAATGATTACATAATGACACTGTATCATAACTACAACTTGTGCCGCGAGTTTATTCTCAAACATCCACATGATAATATAGAGTCCGCGTTCGGAAACAGTTCCAAGGGCCACAAACCTACTTGCCGATGGAGTTGGATAATATGTAATGTTAATATGAGTGATTTAGTCCCGGGTTTCTTTTGTAATGTACAACGACAGGATTGTTTAGCGCTAAGATCTCTAATGAGATTCATTCATAGCTAATGCCCCATACTTGCAGTCTTGAGCTAAACTAAGTAAAAATAGAGCACCCACTACAGAAAAGTTATTTGAACTTAAATCACAAGAGTGAGGTTATTTAATATCAAATTTTGTATGCAGCACTCGGCAGTGATTGAACTTACTACTAAGTAAGAATGGCTAATCAGATTGTCAGATTGTTAACCATAACGCCCATACCTAGACGCCTGAGATAGATAGATAGATTTCAAGATAGATAGAAGGATATAAACAGATAGATAGATAGATAGATAGATTAGGAGGATATAAACAGATTTAGATAGATAGATAGATAGATAGATAGATAGATAGATTAGAAGGATATAAACAGATTTAGATAGATAGATAGATAGATAGATAGATAGATAGATATAAACAGAGATTGATAGATAGAGAGATAGAATGATATAAACAGAGATAGATAGATAGATAGAATGATATAAACAGAGATAGATAGAATGATATAAACAGAGATAGATAGAATGATATAAACAGAGATAGATAGAATGATATAAACAGAGATAGATAGATAGATAGAATGATATAAACAGAGATAGATAGATAGATAGATAGATAGATAGATAGATATAGATAGATAGATAGATAGATAGATAGATAGATAGATATAGATAGATAGATAGATAGAGAAGGATATAAACCGATTTATACAGATATGAACAGACTGAATTAAACAGAGAGAGAGAAATGAACAGACTGAGATAGGTATAAGGACAGACAGGCAGATGCGAATAGTCTGAGATAGTTGTTAATAGAATGTAATACATTTGTTTATTTTACTAATTGTCAACCTTCTTGGCGTGTTTAATGGCGAATCTTGTCTGTGTCATCTAATGAATGTCAAATACACTAGTCAACACGACTAGGCATGTTAACCATTACCCCCGTAGCGTAGATGTTAGCTAACAAGTCTCATAAACCATTACTACTGTATAGTGATTATATATATATATATATATATATATATATATATATATATATTTGTTTAAAAACATGATTCCTTCGTTACATAAGAGTACGCATGTTTCAAAAACGAGAGCCGAAATCATCCAAATAATTATTAAAATTAAGTTGAATTGTGGTGTTTAGTTCAGTTTCATCTTCAAGCGAAATTTTAGGAATTTAAATATATATATATATATATATATATATATATATAGCTATTTTTAAAATCGATTGATTTTTTTTCTTCAACAAGATCGCTCGTGCAGATCAGATGACCGCAATCGGTAAACAAACACCTCAAATATCGATCCAAGACATTTTTAATGCAATTCAAATTATTCAGAATAAAAGGGTGCCTAATTCCACAACATTTATTTTTCAGTTCGACTCGTAGAATAAAATTAGTTCCACTCAAACAAACAGAACTGAAATTCCCACGTTCGACACAGATATCGCTTAAAAGGACGCACCTTCTTTTTGATATTATATTATAATTATAACTCATAAGTAATTTCCATTTTTGGGGAACCAACTGTAGTGATGAATCTACCAGCCTAACCACTAATCCTATATGGTAGTTAAGAAAAAAAAATAGGGGTCACTTTTCCAATGGCATTAGTGCCAAATGAACGACGAATATATATATATATATATATATATATTATGAAATGGACAAAATCCGACAATTATTTTAAGACATTTTTTTTATGTTTATACGTTCTTTTTTATAGGCACAAATATTTAAGTAAATGCTCTGTTTATAATAAATAATATTAACAACATTTACCGGCCTGAATCTCCGAGAAATTTTCATAGAAAATATGCGTCCTCCGACAGGAATCGAACCTGTATCCTATACGGAACCGTCATATAGCCTGACGTGCTTTTGCCGATTGAGCAACAGAGGAGCGTTTCGGTTAGCAAGGTCGAGTTTACTGTTTTTAAACTACAATTTTCCATGATTTTCTCTCATACATTCATATCTTCTCGACGCGAATCCAAATGTAAACAAATGATGTCAAGCATTATAAAATGGACAAAGTCCGACAATTATTTTAAGACATTTTTTATGTTTATTATAAACAGAACATTTACTTAAATATTTGTATCTATAAAAAAACGTATAAACACACACACATATATAAGAATACTACACCGAAAACCTGTTAAAATATATCCTAAACCGGAAACAGGGAATACATCTCTAATTCTGTTTAAAAGACCAGGGAGGAGACTGAATCGAGCGATAGGCTAACCTACAAAATTTGGTTCTACAGAAGGATGCTGAGAATATCAAATGTGAGCAACAACGAAGTTTTTGAGAAAATGCAAACAAAAAGGACACATATTTAACATCAGCAAGAGACAGCTGAAATTTCTGGGGCACACAATGAAGAAAGAGAGCTTGGAAAATTTGATACACACAGGTCAGATTGAAGGCAAGTGGGAGAGCGGAATAAAACGTAAAACCTACCCAGCGTGTCAAAAAAAAAAAAAAATATATATATATATATTCAATAATTGTTCACTGGACTTATCTCATTGACCGACTCTTTGGTTTCGCATTAAATCGTACTTCAAGGTCTGATGTTTGAGATATACATCTGTGACAGATCATGGTGTTTATTGGTTTATTGCTTTTCGCATGTCTATGAAGAGAATGTGGTCAGTCGACTGGATCGTACACGACCTATTTAAACAATGTTGAAATAATTTTAACACGTAGATGATAAGAGAATTCAGATGGCGACACCTTCTGTTGTGTCTATTAAGGGATATGTCGACATTTTGTGACTTTTCACCGCGTGGTATGAAGTACTTGTCGAACCCGATATCTCCGTCAAATGCTGACAAAAAAAAGGAAACAGAATAGCCACAAGCTTCTGCGAATGTTTATTTGGCTCTCAAAATAATCCAATGCCCGGATGTAACCTCACAACGTTTTGGATTACTCAACCAATGCTTGGCTGAGTAATCCAAAACCATGGATAAAAAGGGTCATGAGTAATCCAAAAAGTGGCCTGACCTAAAGAGTTGTGAGTTTAATCACCTGACCACAGAAGAGGCAACAAAATCTTGGAGAGTTGAATTACTAAAGGGAATTAACTGATACCAAGGTATCCAAAAAAAAAAAAAATGCGATGGCACGTGGAATGAGAACAATCTACGTGGATTAAATAAAGTGTTCGGTTCCAAATTCCAACGTACATCAGCTGAAGAAGGCCAGGGCGTACAACAGCCGAGACGTCGTGTATATGGCACTAAAGACGAGAACAAATAGTCCCAACTGTGTAAAAAGTTACAATACATCATCTAAGAAATATAGACAGAATTTTCTTTTATAATTATGTCATCGTTTCTTGAAATTTCGGCTCCATCGTTTTAAATAATATTATTAGTAAACGTAAAAGTGGTTTTCCAAGCGTAGCTTAGATGCGGTACAAGGCCGAAATTATGAGGCACCCAGTGTGGATCGAACTCACAACTCATTCATAATTGTTCTAGCGAGGCAAGCTTGCTAACTATTACACCGCCTCGGGGTGCCCTAATGATTTTCTAAGCGTAGTTTAGATGTTGCCCAAGGCACGCAATGAGGATCGAACTCATTACTCAGTCGTAATTGTTCTAGCGAGACAAGCTTGCCAACCATTACGCCATCCCGAGGTGTCCAATTAGTAAAAGCAAAATACATGGAATATTTAAGCAATAACTTGTATTTTAAAATCCTTTTAACACGATTATTCTTTTCACGTATTTAATATGGCTTCTAATTTTTTTTATATAATCGGACCAGTTATCCGAACAAAAGACGACCCACACGCCGTCTCTTTCGAATAAACGACGATCCACTGTATTTACAGACAAACAGACAGACAAATTGTCAAAGACAGGCGACAATATTAATGACCTAATTGCAAAATATTTTATTTTTTATTAATTGTATGCTAATGTCCCTATTAGCTACACTACAACTATAATGGTTTTGAATATAGAAATATTTCTTGGGAAAGTTATTTTTCAACTCATGGAACGATTCCATTCGAGTCTATGTGTACCGCTATCAGTTTTATCTATATTTCGAGGTTGTGCAACCCCCCTCCCTTCTGTTGCTCCTGTCATTATTGTAGTTAATTTTATTCTGCATATTTCCATTATTGATTCGAAAATATTTTTATTAGTTTGCGCTGACCCAGGGTTTCTTTTTGTTTTATTATTCTTGTTGGTCATTATTAAATTCCTCGCATAATACCCGTCAAAGATGACGATGTTATTCAACAATGGACTAGCAATTCTGCCTAGGATCAAACCAACAGGTCTCTCCCTCTCTTTCTCATTACACACACACAATATATATTATATATATATATATATATATATATATATATATATATTATATATATAATATATATATTTATATATATATATATATAAATGCTCTGTTTATGATTTTAGTTTTAAATAACATTTACCGGCCTGAATGACGGTTCCGTATAGGATGCAGGTTCGAATTGTCAAAGAACGAATATTTTCTATGAAAATTTCTCGACATTCAGGCCGGTAAATGTTATTTAAATACTGTTTATCATAAACAATTTCATATCTTAAAAATCGGACCTTGTATCTTATATATATATATATATATAAAATAACAATATTAAATATATAAATATATATTTAATAAATAAATTATATATATATATATATTATATATATTTCTATATATATATATATATATATATATATATATATATATATATATATATATATATATATATATATATATATATAAATTTATCACCGAGATGATTGGTGTTAACTTCAGCATCCTGACTCTAAAGTTTCGTAGACGAACCCACCAGCAAACATCCGTCGATATGAGTAGTGAGTTCGATCCTCACTGAGTGCCCCTTACTTTCGGCCTTGTGCCACATCTAAGCTACGCTTGGAAAATCACTATAATACTTGGAGAAGGTTAGTCCCAAGTGATCACTCATACTAAACGCTTTCGTTTCACAGCTCATCCGATATTGAACAAATGTATATAATCTGTCTAAATTTCTGTGATGAGGAGTTATCATTATTTACATATCAACTATTATTCCTCGGGTACCTCGAGGTGGTGTAATGGTTAGCAAGCTTGTCTCACTAGAACAACTACGAATGAGCAGTGAGATGGATCCTCACTGGGTGCCCCTTTCATTCGGCCTCGTGCCACATACAGGCTACGCTTGGAAAATCACTATATATATATATATATATATATATATATATATATATATATATATATATATAGAGAGAGAGAGAGAGAGAGAGTGAGAGAGAGAGAGAATCACACTTGTTTAAGAATGGTTGTTTGACTCTTGTTATTGGCTGGTTAAAATCTCCGTTTTGGTTAAATTAAAAGGAAATCTAAATGTTTTTGGCCATTTCCCGCGTCTTTGTTGATTATCATCTTTATATTTGATCGCTATCAACTTCAAGTAGACTGTACAATATTTGTCAGCGAATAATCTCCAGTACCATTTTTTTTTCAAAACCACTTTTGATATGCTTGAATATTCACAGTACCTTCTTCAAAAATTGTAAAAATAGTTTTATTTTTATTTTTTGCTGTGTTTTGCGTTGCATTTTACAGCTCATAAATTAAGCAAAGTAATCTGCTGAAAATTAACCTTTTTTTTTTGGGTCTATCATCAATTTTCCAATTAATAAAAAAATTAAACTAATTTTGGTACTTTTTTTAAATTCATGCTGACACGAAAACAGTTCAAATACAATCAAAAACTATCTTTTTGAATTTTGTTAAAACTAAACACTACTAATGCCATCTGACGACACAAACAGAATCGAATTTTGCGTCATGTGTTCTTTAATGCTTATCTGTACTAACATACCTTATCGCATGCGATTGAAATTAGATTACAGCAGTTTCTCTTTAATATTTACTCTCTGGACCGGAATAGATGGGCCTAACCGGCTATTTAAGTTGAGCAGGAAGGCTATATTCAATTTGAAATATTATGGCTGCTTAGAAAATCAACGTACGAAATCTTGGATGTTTCGCTAGCCTAAATTGATTGCTTATTTTATTTTATTTTTTTTGTTACTCGTTTCACACCAAGAAAGGCGATAAGCCCAGTAAAACGCAAGTGGTTTCGGAGAAAGTGAATGAGGAAGACTTTAGCCGAAGGAACCGGAAACGAAAACCTAAACCGAAAACAAGGGATAAACCTCTACTTCTGTTCAAAAGTCGGGAAAGAAGTGTGAACCGGGCGACAGGGGAACATAATTATTCCTATGACAAACTTTTGTTATTTATTATCTAGAAAAAAAAATGGATACATTTTTATGCGAGGCACATAATTTACTTGCTAGAAAACAAAAATAAATGCACGAGCTCGACTTAAACACGAGTTTCTACGGTAAGTCTTTTCCTCCATTACTTTTTTCAAGCGTGTTATTATTTATATTTTAATCTATAGTAATGTTGTTTTTGTTCTTGTTGTCATAATCATTATTTCGAGTATCGTGATAAAATATTTTTTTATTCAGAATTAATCAAAATTATTTGTGTTAATTATATTAATGTCAAAAAATAAATAAATAAATAAAAAAACGAAAAAGATGTGACACAGATCGTGGAGCGAGTATTTTTAAGTTATTTTATGTGTGTTCGTTTTTCTTTCTTCCCAGATTCAAAAAAAAGATAAAATTGCTTTCTTTATGCAATAAAATATTTATGATATTTCTAAATAAATAAATATAAAGCATAGTGCAAAACAGATGTTTAAAAATAATTTTTAAAAATGGCAAAATTGAATCTTAGCATCGGAGAACTAAAAATATTTTTTAAAATATAAAACAAAACAAGATGCAAAAGTAAAAAAAAAAAAGTAACATGCAAGATAATGCAAAAATAATAATACAAATAAAAGCATGCATAGAAAAAAATGGCTGGAAAGAAAGTTCATTCAGATAAAATATATTTTTTTTAAATCTGTGTAAAATAACCAAAAAAATATATAGACAGATCCATGCAAGAAATGCAAAGAGCAACGGAAAAAAAGAAAAGTAAACCAAATAAAAAAAAATGGAGCATCACAGTGGGCAGAAAGCAAATCACGAGAGATCTCCTGTTGTGAAGTTAAAAATGTATCGTTCAGGGAGTTTGTGCTGTCATGGCGAATAACCGCACAAAAAAATATAACAGTATCATAACAAAATCAAAGCCTTTTCCGCCAACCCCTAGCAAAATGCAGACCAAAATTTTTCTTTACGTTTATTTTTGTGTAGCAATAATGTTTTATTCTCTAAAAGCAAATCCAGATTTACCATTTTCGATAATAACATCACCATAATAAAAAGTAAAAATAAAACCGTCCATGAATAAAAAAAAAAATACGAAACAATCAATTTAAGTGATTAAACATTTCATACAATATCTTTTATTGTTCGCAAATCTACTTAATATCATTGAACTGCCACTAACATTGATTGTTAAAAAGAATAGCTTATTTATTTTACACTGATTTGGATTAAAGTAAAGAAGTTCACAGCTCGAAGCACTTAATTTGCTGATCTGAAAATGGAGTTTGAATAAAACTCTCCGCGACATATATGACACTGGTATATAGGATTCACTCTAAATTAAACGGAAAATATTCTAGAAAAATATATCTATATCAACATTGATATGACGTATCTCTTGAGGAAGTAGTAAATTATGGTTTATGGTTCTCCTCAGCATACTTGTCCCTTATAGATTTAAGCAGCTTTTGACTCTCTGTCATCTTTTCTTATGCCTTCTCTGCTATCCATTCACACAAACACATTAGATAAATTACTCGCTGTTTCTCTCTAGCACCCATCTTGAATACATTTTGTGAGTATTAAATTTTCAAAGCCGTCCTTCCTCAATATGTCCCAGACATTTTAACGGTCTCCTTCTGGTTTTAAACATGGGTGTATTTCTAATTGCCATAGTCGTCCTGAAATTATCAGGATAATGAAAATAAAAAGATTTGTAGATGGGGTTGCTAACCGGCCTATACTGAAAAGGAGAATGTGTAATTTAATTGTTCCTTGTCCTTTGTTGAATTTGGAAGATAAAAACAGTGACAGTTTCAATTATACTGTATAATAGCAGAAATTAAATTAAAAATGTATTTATAATTCAACTCTCCAAATCACAAACACCATTGCTCACTCTACAACTCAAACACTGGACTTGGGTCAAACGTCGTCTATAAACAGGATTACCAACACTGAAGTTAAAATAAGACACAAAGCAATATATATGTTTCTCTTACTTGACAGAGTTGATAATCGTATTTGTAGAAATTGTTTGAAGCAGGCCCAAAGTTTACTTTGCAGAAACCGCAATATGGTTTGTGATTTGGAGGGTTGAATTTTAAATAAAGTCGATCTTATATTTTTAACATTTCCAAAAAATTAAAATATCACTTTATCATCTAAACTACATGGTTTTCTTCATTTTAACACCTGGTGAGTGTTCGCTATATCACATTTTTCAATCTGGAAGCATTTCGTTCGTAAGCCAGAGAGTGTGATTTCTCATTCCCAGCATCACTACTTGTTTCCAAATATGGTCAGGTTCACTTAGGTGACCTCGGGACCTACAGATTCAATACGTGATTTATACCGGAACTATGCTCAACGGACCTTAGTTTCAGTTTTAAACTACTACAGTATAACCCGGATGTAAGAGAGTTGTCGGGACCGGAGAAGTCTCTTATATCCGGGTTTGGTCTATTTTATATACATTAACACAGGCTCTAATTTGGGACCAGAGAAAATCTCTCTTATATCCGGGTCTCTTATATCCGGCTTACACTGTACTAATTTTTCGAATTGGAAAACCAAGCGTTGTTTTGTTTTCATTGGTTGTGTAGATGTCACGTTTTTATTTAACAACTTCACTCTATTCAATTCTCCCAAAACATATATGTGTGTGTGTGTGTGTGTGTGTGTGTGTGTGTGTTTAACTCGACCTTGGCTGTTTACACATTACGGTACAAAAGTTAAGTAAAAATTTCAAACATCCCGTCTATCACGTTTAATCAAATATGTTTATGTTTATGTTGTCACTGGCCTCTTAATGTCATCATACACACTATATATAGCATTTTTTTTTTTTTTTAATGTAAAGAGTGCAAATACGTAGAAATTGATTTTATTGATAGATATGAAAGACATAGAAGTGGAATATAGAAGAAGAAATCTACGCGGGACGATCGTAAATGTGTTCACTACACGCATCGGTTTGCGTGTGAGTGTGCTACAAAACCAAGTCACGTTTGTTAAGCTTTTTCGTCGTATCTCTCTACAAACGCACGGGCGGCCGACTGACTAAGTGTGAAAAAACCGAGGCCCCAAGGCAAGATTTGTTGATCGCAATCTCCTATTTACAGAATCGGGCGCTAATTCAATTTACCACTTTCTTAGGGTTGCCAATTGTCCGTACTGTAGAGAGCGAGAGAGAGAGAGGAGGGGGAAGAGAGAGAGAGAGAACAGCCGAAGTTTCTCAGCTGTCCATTCGAATGCAGAGTCGAAGCTCTGAGAGCGAGCCCTTAAATAACATTAGCCAACTAAGAGCCGCCGTTTCATTGACTAGTGACACCTAGCGTCAAATCTGCTGCAGTTTGGAGCCAACTAGACCAAAGCCAATAATGGCTAATTTGCCTTTTTATTCTAGATTCAAGGAGCCAATGCGTAGAAATAGATTTTGTTGACGGTCTGACAGGCAAACTGACTACATTAAAAGAGAACATGTGTTTCGGCAGACTGAAATTGATTAGTTTGTTTGTTTCTACCCAAATCTCCTAGATGTCGAACACTTCCTCTGTATACTAAATATACGTAACAGACAGGTTTATAAAGGGTGTTCCAATAACTTGGACCGATTTTAAATGTGAATTAAGTTTAAGCGTCTAATGATTTTTTTTCTTTTTCTTTCAGATTTGGCGGACATTTGGGCGATATTATTATTCACACATAATTCCCATGACTTAAATAACATGATCCAATAGAGAAATAAATAAATTTTCACCAATAACACTGATTTATTTACTGCTGACTTTGATCCATCTTAATGAAACACCCTTATTTATAATCCGTCTAAATGAAACACCCATTATTGACATATAACAGTCTGAACCTCGATCATAACAGGTACCCAATGAGGATTGAAGTCATTACAGCAGAAATTGTTCTTGAGAAACACGTACTTACTTTCAGCCTAAGATAGGCACCCAATCGGGCTCATAAATCAATGCAAATATTCCGAACGGTTTTTTTTTAAAACTAGTGACTTATTTTTTTAATACTATGTCCTTTCCAAATATAACTGACCCTGCCTCCCCACAGAATCTTTTTATTTACTGTCAATTGACACGACTTCATGGAAATTTAGCCGAATGTTTTTTCCGTTGCTTTTTCCACGTTTAAACCTCAGAGTAGTCCTTAACCTAGAATAGTACTCAAGGTTAGAGAGTTTAGTCTACTATACGAATTACTCTATAGATGGTGGTGGGGTAGAGAAGAGATAGCATTATAACTTATCCCGAGGGTATTAGGTCGGAACTTGGACTCAGGCCCCTTTCTGGACAAATAACTGTTAAGTTACCTGTACAACCTACAGATTTATATGATATGAACTAAATTTGGTGGGTAAATTTGTACTCGTGGCACCTCTGATTTGAAGGTGGATCCCATTCAAAACGCTTTTTTTCCCGTAAACTTTTGCATGATCAATATCTTTTTTTTTTCTTCTGCTCACACATATTTAGTGGGGATCAGTTTTAAAACTTAGAACATGTTAAAATGAGTTCCATATTTTTCAATGGACTTATACCCTAAATAGGGGACTTTACTACCATTTTGAAAACCGAAAAATTTCGAATACAAAGATTCCAAAATATGTTTAGTCTCGATAGTTTTGAATAAGATTCTCCCAGATCATTTTATTTTTTATTTTTTTTACGATTTACAACCGAGACATATTTTCGGTTGTAGGAATAATTCGATTTTTTTTTTTTTTTGCGAGTGGCTACTGCATTATCATTTTATTTTGGAAGTAACAATATTATTTTCTTGATACACATCCTACTATTTAACCCAATGCTGGTGGGGACATGTGGTGGATATTTGCGCTTGATTGAATGTAACGAACTCGGCTGAAAGATGTAGGGGAATTTTTCTTTTAATATCCGATAACTGCCATGATTTCTTGGGAGAAATAGTGTAGTGCCACTTCTCAACTTGCTTGCTTTCTCCACGGTTTGAAATTTAGAATCGTCCTTCGCTTAAATTGGTTGCCACCCAAGGATAGAGACTTGTCTACTATATTTAACCAGTAGCTGGGGGAGTTATATTCATACATTTCTCAACTACATCAGTCCGAAAGTGAACTCAACAGACAAGGCTGGAATTGGAGATATAGCGTCGATAGCTATTATTATTATTATTATTATTATTAGCTAGATTAGTATAGGAAATAAATTTAACTGCAGAAAGGCGATGTAATTCTTAAAAAAAGTAAGCTAACTAACTTATAACAAAATGAGTTTAATGGCTCCATTCGGCTGGTGGCTAGTTTTAATAATTGTAAAAATAAATGAATTAGACTTTTTTTTTCTTTGTAAGAGCGATAAAACTTACCAATGGGCGGACTGTAATTCGAACCTTCAACGCCACCACCACCCGGCGAGGCCAATGACCCAGGTAACGGCATTTCCTGCTTAATTGGCTGATAGTCTTTTGGTATTTCGTTTGCTGAGGTATTCGGAACAAAATTATTGAAAGCGGGTTGATACACCGAATAATTCTGTCCGTTCGAGTTGGAATTGGGATCAATACGTGAAACCTTGGGAGGAATTACGGTATGTTCTGTTGGATAAATCATCTGAAAAAAAAAAAAAAAATTAAAAAATGACAAGTTGAATATTGATAATACAAATAGTCTCAACCTAATCGAGACTGGTATTTTCAACAGCGGATAACTGAAATCACGTATCAGACGGGAACCCATAGTTAGCATGTGTAGCGTTTGATTAACACCAAGAGATGGAAATTTAATATCAATAACGAACTGAAATGAATTTAATATCAATAACGAATCTTTGTTCTAAGAGAAGTTTGATCTGTTGTGACCCCAGATTTACCCCTAAGAGATACAGAAATACATTTTGCACATAAAAGTCACGCCAACGGATCAAAATAGCCAGGTGCATCAGAGCATTGACCTGAAAGGTGATCCCATAGCAACCAATGATAGTGGTTGCTCCCGTTAACAGCTGTGCTTAGGTTGTCCACATTTCGGACAACTGGATGACAGGAACATATATATACACCTAACTGTAGAAGAAAAAAAACAGAATCTCTCAAATCGCACCGAAAAGAAGAATCCACGTTCGGAGAAAACTCCCGAAGCCACACACCCGCTCGACGATATTAACAGATGAATTCCAGAGGAGAATCAACAGTAAATTTACGTATCGGGTATCTCATCTCTTGCTCTTGTGGGATTTTACAACGATTACATTAAACTATTTACATTGTATGAAATGTTGTCCTCATCTTTACTGTCAAATTCACGACGTTTCGACCCGGCCTTCTTCAGATGATATTCGTTGGAATTTTGAACCGGACCCTATATTCTATCCTCGGAGATAGATTGTTTTAATTCCACGTAACATGCCTTCAGTTATCTCAGGTTTTAGTTAATTCCCCAAAGAGTTGAGAGTTATCAAGGTGAATTAACTAAGCTGAGATATCCAAAGGCAAGGCACGTGGAATTAGAACAATTTACCCCCGTGAGATAAATAAGGAGCTCGGTTCGAAATTCCAACGTATATCACCTGAAGAAAGTCGGAGCGTACAGCAGCCGAAACGTCGTAAACGTGACAGTAAAGACGAAGACAGCGGTCCGAAAAATGTAAATTGTGTAAATAGTTGCAATACCTAATCAGAATTATCAGAACAACCTAGACAGATATATATATATATATATATATTTATATATATATATATATAAAATTCACTCTCGCCTGGTCATGTATGACGTCATGAGCTGTGGTGCGATTTTCGCTTCTAGCGTCTTATATGCACGTGTTTATCGTTGCTAGGAAATCATCCATGTAAACAATCACAGACTATCATAAAGAATCTCCTAGATTAATCATCATTTCCCACATACTTTTTTTTCATTCCAAGCCAAAAGACATATAAAATCAGTGTTAAAAATGTTTATGAATTGTTGGAAGGAGATCGTTGATATCAAATAAAACCTCTGTTAATGAATAAATTTAAATTAAGCCTGATTTTTTTTTTTAAATATTTGTTATTTTTTTTCTTTCATGGCGTTATATTCGGACATTACTTATGGAATGGCCTTATATAACTTGTATTTGCTGGTAAACGGGCAAGCAACTGAGATGTTCGCTTGTTTCATTCGTGATGTGCAAAATTCTCTTGGGCGTTTCAGAGTAAAAGCTTTTAATAAACTGTCAGTCGATAAGCGCGGGTGCATTGGTCCGGCCTCAAGAAAGAAGCCGTAAAAGAGAAAACGGTCACAAGGGAGACAACATTGTTATTAGCGCTAACATTGTCAGTAAAATCCTTATTGAAAATAAATGAGAATTACATTGGTGGGATGGAACCTTGGCATTTTTTTTTTGTTTTGTTTTTATTATTGGCAATCATGACTTCGTTATGTCCCCCCCTGTTTTTTGTTTGAAATGAGAGAAATTCGTAACCTTTATTCTCTTGTAGTGATTTCACTAGCTTTGTTCAACAATTGAGGGTGAATAAAATCAGAAGAATTACCCCGCCTTGTTCATCCACCCCTCGCATATTTTGAAACCTGATTTGTATTAGTATAAATAAATAAAGATAAATAAGATAAAATTATCCAAAGGGGGGATAACTGTGGTAACCACAAAAAAAAAAAAAAAAAAAAAAAAGATCACTCATCCAGCAGGGATTCAAAATTCATTAACATCCATCCCCACCAAAAAACAAAAAAAAAAAAAAAAAAAAAACACAATCGCAACAGGGATTCACCTCATCTACGAACGAGCAAAGGAGAGGTGTTCACGATGAGACAGGAGAGAAATGGATTGGGAAATCGGGGAGTTACATAGGGGGGAATGTAGGAGCCACACTGAGACGAACAGTGAATTCGAGACAGAACTAAGGGAATGAATAAATGAACGAATGAATCAGAGGATGAATGAAAGAAAAGGAATGAAATGGAAAAATAAATAAATAAAAAATAGAAGGAAAAATAATAAAGACAAGACTTGCGCCCACAAAAACCAAAACGAAATTAACTTTGTAAGTGTAAGCGAAACGACCATCACTCTCTCTTTGATTTTCAATTTTGTTTCGTATCAGAACAGTTGGGGGCAAGAGGGTGGAGGCAGTGGGTCAAGTGAGGGGTGGAGTTCAACGAAAGGAATCAAAGATCAATAGAAATCGAAAAACAGAGAGAGAGAGAGAGAGAGAGCGAGGAATCAGTTCATTTTGGTACGTGTTCAAAATGGGTGGAGCAGGTCGGCTGAGGGGCAGGAGGCTGTTGAGGAGGGGGGTGGATGCAAAAGAATGGAATATTAACCAGAACCTTACCCTTACCACTTAGGTGATTGAAAGACTCCGGTGGAGATTCTAACAGCAAATTCGCGCACGAGAGCGCGAAAGAGAAATAGAGTGAGAAAGAAAAAGGCCAGAGAATGAGACAGAGAGGAACGGAGAATGGAATTTCGTTTTGGTCAGAAAGAGAATGAAGACAAAATTAAAAAAAAAAAAAAAATGATCCTAAGGGCGGGAAAGTGTAAATAGAGAAATAAGCAGAAATAATTGTATTAGTTCAGAAAAAAATGGAATGGAAAGAGACCAAAGGAGCCGGCTTTGTATTATCTAATCAAAAAAAAAAAAAAAAATGGCTCTTTTCGTCTCGACTAAATTTGTTGCGAGTTGTGATGGCGGGAGGGGTTGAAAAGAGTGTACAAATTTCATATGAAACCCAGAATTAGTAGTTGATACGATTATTTAATTGGATGAGGTTTTGAACACAGGAATATTGGGTCGAAGAAGAATTCAAAAAAGATGTTCTCTTCGACTCTGAGCGTCAAGGAATATTGGGTCGAATTATATAAGAATTATAAAATTATATTATATTCTCTTCGACTCTGAGCGTCAATATATATATATATATATATATATATATATATATATATATATATATATATATATATATATATATATATATATATATATATATATATATATATATATATATATATATATATATATATATGCGTGGCCGGAGTGGTTACTATTAGTACGTTCGCTTTCTGGCAATGAATGAGACTCGGGTTCGAATCTCACCATGGTCGATTTGTCAAGAAGGAGACTTCCTAATGTTATCGGACTGAAAGGGGCGATCCCAGCGTGCGACACCTTTGGAAAGTGCATGAAAGACATACCACGTGTTGACCCAAGGCTTATCAGTGAAATTGGGTAGACGGAACACTTGGGAACCGTCGATAGGTGTGCTAGCACGAAGCCACAAGTCATCGTGACCGAAGTTTTGAGTGTGCTGGTGTTGTTCAGATTGCTTATCATTCTAGATAACATGCTCTCTCCCAGAAACTATAACTAAGGTCTGTTCAGCATAGTTTGGCTCTCTGTGGGTATTGAACAAACACAAATGTGCCTGAGCGAGAGTCTTCATTAGGGATTGGCTAGCCATTCCTAGTAGACGGGTATCTTCGAATACGAGTGGCAAGCTATTATATATATATATATATATATATTATAGGAGGCACGGTGGAATAATGGATAACGTTTTGGATTGAGGAATCGGAGAGTTCAAATTCCAGTGGGAAAGGTGTGAATCCTCTTCTTCTCCCTGGACATAGACAGGACTTGGATGGCAACTGGTCTAGGAGAAGGACAACTCTGAATTCAAAACCTGCGTAGGGTCGTTTGGGAACCTCTGTATTCGGCCCTTCAAAAAGTGTGGATGATCCTGCACGAAACCTTCACCACTATAATCAAATCTCATGTGCTGTTGTCGGGCTGTCGGTTTCCTAGGGACTGATCTGCTTGACACTCATACGTTGAATTCGAGAGAGAGTATAATATATATATATATATATATATATATATTGTAAAGGAATATAAGTAACCTGAGATGGTGTGTGTTTTGAAAAACAAAACATTATTTTTTTCAAGGAGGTTGCAAAACCGAGTAAGAAATATAATTTCTCACTTTACTTTTTAAATGATTACTAAATAGCAAAAGTAAACTTGATAATAGGTGTTGTAGTGTAATGGATATCGGCTGAGAACTCGGAGAGCCGAGTTCGAATCCCAGTCGATTTCTTTAGATTCACTTACGCATAAATAGTCTTGGGAAACGGATGAATCCATCTCTTTTTCCCGCTTCCCGCTATGAGTCGAATAGCAGGACAGACAGAGTTCTTTACCCTTGTTTGGCAACCAGTCTACCGCACAAAGAAATGGCAACCTACTGCGGGAAAAAATCTGCCTCGTCAGTCATGTATCGATAAATACATGATCGCCCAAGCGTGTATTACGTATAGCATTTAACTGACTGTAACTTGATAATGTATGCAAAACATCGAATATCATTATTCCGATCAAATATTCTTTGTCTTGACAACGTGAAAAAGATGTCAGCCATTTTGATTAAATGGTTGAATCATTAGCGAACACTGGATTTAAGAAATAAAAATATTTTAGCCAGTTGATATAGAACATATTGAAACTTGCATATGCAAGTCTTTCTTGTGGTTAACTGTAAGGGCAACATGATATTTTTAGATTATTTTAATAATTAAAAAAATAATTTTTTTAAATTACCTGGTCATTTTGTGTGTCTGTTCTGTTTTCTGAATCTGCATGGCCATTTTGCACTGAAATGAAAATTAAAAACAATTAAAATTTTGTGTAACCCATTAAATTACAGCTATTTTTTCCAGATATACATTTTATCGACAGAGCCCTATTCTGAAAAACTTTCTTCTATAGTACCTAAACTTTATGAATTTAAGCGTAGTACTAGATTGGCAACAAGGACTCATCATTTTACAATTGGTTGGCTATATGTAACCGTAAGTTCTATGCCAACAGCTTCTTCTCTCACACTTCTCGCTTATGGAACTTTTTTTCCAGATTCTTGCTTTCAATCTTCATAAAATTAAATGCAATGTTAATCGTTATCTTCTGTCTTCTTAATTCCTACTTTTATTGTTCTCGTTCCTTTTCTTATTCTTATATTGTTTCAAACACAGTAATCCCTTGCGTCATAGTTGCTTTATTGCCTTGCTTGGGGTGAAATGATTTTTTAAAGTCCTGAAACAAATACACTTATCTAATATTTAAGGCTGAAAGGTTTGTGCGTCTGTTCGGTATGAGTCCTGAAATTTAATAAATTTAGCTGTCTGCCATTGTTTTCGAGAAAGAGAGGTAGACAAATATTATTTTCTACCGAAAAGGTATGTATTTAATTTCTTTATTTCGTTTTCCGGTTTATGTATAAGTTGTCACACATCCGGATGGGATTATGAAGAATTAATCCAAATAGAAACGCTGTCGGTTGAATGTAATAAAACCTGTTTGGTATGTGTGTAGAGTCTCCAAATTTAATGAATCCAAAAACATCCAATGAGGACAGAATACTGTTCACTATTAAATATCTCACTGGCGTACTAACAACCGTCAGTAGCTACACTCATAAAAATAACACGACAAACATATGCAGTTATTTCTATAATAAACAGAATTTAAACTGTAGTTTCTAAAGTTGGCTTTCATTACGTTCTCGATAGACCAATCATTTGGTCGTAAAAGCAAAAGTTTGACATCAAACTATAGCCTGTAACAAGAATCAGCTTACGATATAATATAAATGGCGTCAATCATCTACTGGCTAAGGCGTCAGCTATGTAAAGCGAGTTCTCGAGAATTTTCCGTGAAAATTTATTTGAACATTACCAAAAGAAAAAAAATACAATCTACTAGTGAAGTGAAAGCAATTATGACATCCATCCGGAATCTACCAGAAAAAAAAAATCCAGATGTGGAATTAATAAATACAAAATACTTCAAATAACTCTGTGTACGGAATAGTTATGACAAATTTAGTACAAGAGATAAGGAAATTGAACATAGAATAGGCTGCGCTAGAGACAGTTTCACCCAACACCGCCAATTGCTGCAAAACCACAAAATTAACCTGAAAACTAGAGACATGTTCTTAAATAGTCTCGTCAGATCAAGATTTTCATATGGTAGGAACAACATTCCTTGGTTCCGCCAAATTCTAATCTTCACGGCTAGGACCCACCATGCCACTTACATTGTAGCAAAAAAAATGGGAAGATGATGCGTTATTCATTGTAAGGCCAGTCATCATTGACGCAACATATCTTTCCAGTATGTCATGGACCGGTACCACAATTGTGCCATATAAGTATATAATAACGATCCGAGAAAGTATTATTTTTACCTTCGTAGTATCATTCGTTTACACCAGAAAAATGGCGTTCTGTTATTCCTAGGTGAGGTTCCCATACAGTCACACGCCACATCATCAGGATGATGCTATCATTCGTATTTCATTTCCCTGTTCACTATATCGCATTCGTTAGTTGTATAGTAGTGACTTCTAACATGAGTAAGTAATTGAAAAATGTAGCAGTAATAAATATAAAACTTGATATATAGCCACATTCCCTCCGCGTTCTATTAGTGATAAGTTCCACTCAAACAGCTTCTTTCCGCAAATAACTACTCTGAGGATCCAACACCAAATAGGCTGTTTCCCCGATTACTACAATCTTAACCTGTTCAAATCTGCAGTTAACTGTTATCTCCCTCTCCTTGCCTCGTAATGTAAACCTCTACCTCGTGTGGCTCCAGGCCTTGTACCGGGTAAATCTTACTGTAAAAAAAATAAATGAATTTTTTGCAATGCATGGTGCTAAACTAGTTCAGAAATATCTAAACTGTCAACTGTAGAGAAATGGTTTCTCAGATCAATTGTTTAAAAATGGCTTCGATAGAATTAAGCCTTTAGGTCTTCGAACTTTATGAACTGGCGCTACAGAATCATAAAGGACTCTGCCGAATAACAGAAACCAGACGACTAGATGACTTTCAACAACAACAGTAAAATCTAAAATGAATATCGCGTGTAACTCGAAGAGAAAATAATGACATAATCAAGATGTTGACATTCCACACTACTTCAAACACAATTAACCTTTCTCTTCATACGCCGTTAGCACGATGGAAGTTCCATTCGGAGAATATCTTCCCCCACCTCCAAAAAAAATGCTACTTCATGAAACAAACATCCTAGTGGATGTTTCCCGGATCGCTACAATCTTAAACTTTTTAAGTCTATTCTTCCTACATATCCTCTTAAATTACACTTTTCTTTTTTTTACCTCGTCCTCTTACGTGAATGTACCGTAATCATTAATCCTCTGCCTTGAGTGGTTTGTGGGCTTTGTATTTGGTGAACAATTAGTAAAAAAAAAAAAAAAAAAAAAGATAAAAAACGTTAAAAAATGAAAAGAAAACTGTAGTTGATTTTAAGCGGCATTTAACGACATTCAAAAAAAAAAAAAAAAAAAATTTACACCCACCTACTCCTCCTCCGCTCGAAACGAAGCGATTATTATTATGATTTTATGGGAACCACGGAATTTGAATCCTAATGTCACAACAGCAGGTTAGACAAGATGAACAACAAGAAAAAGAAAGCGTAAAAAAAGAAGGTTGTAGTCAGTTATTTTTATGATGTATTATTAGAATCCGGCGTTTTCTTTTGTCAACCTACGAAAGAAAAATATAATTTTCTCATATCGAGAAAAAGCGTCTCCTTGGCGGTCGATTTTATTACAAGATTTTCAACAAACAAGAGGATTAGAAAAAAATATTATATAGATATTGGTTCCAATAACCTTTGTCACAAGGTCAGATATGCAAAACGCTCATGGCATTGCCTGCGAGATTTTCCCGATCATCGTCGATGTGCCAATGCTTTACGCTAAAAAGATTTGTGACGCTTAGCGACACTTACAGAAGGAAACCTGAACAGAATGGCATACAAGGGAAACACTAGATAAATGCGTTAACACTGGACTTGAGAAGTCTAATTTCTGGAAAAAAAAAAACTGCTTTAAGTAAAAGATTTTATAAATTTCAACCATAACTGCTCAGTCAATTAATACTGAATATCTTCTACATAGAAACGCGCAATTCAACCATTACAATTACCGAATAGAATTTTTTGACAGTAAGGTTCACCCTGTACAAGGCCCGAGGCTATTCGCGGTAGAGGGTTACGTTAAGGGATAGTTTATAAGGATTGGAGGGGAAGATAACGGTTAACTAGACGTGGACAGGTAAAGATTGGAGTTATTGGGGAAACATCCTCTTCGGATTTCAACAGACCGCTATTCATATCCTGATACCAGATCCTTTAGGAAATTGCTTCTCAAACTATCTGATATAACATACCGGCAGATTATTTTTTTTTAATGTGTGAGGAAACTGCGGGTGAAGGTTTCCAATCCAGTTGGGGAGCGCTGTACCACACCCATTTATTTTTTAGATGTCATATTTCAAGGTCGTATTGAGACTATCTCTACTAAAAATGGGGAGATTATGTTATTCATTGTAAGGTCAGTCATCATTGACGTAACATATCTTTCCAGTATGTCAGGAACCTATACCACATTTGTGCCATATAATTATATAATAACGATCCGAGAAAGTATTATTTTTTACCTTCGTAATATCCTTCGTTTATACCAGAAAAATATAATGAATATAATAAAATTTGTACAACGTTTTTGATTTTGTATTGATTTCGTAGAAATATAAATACCTGAAAATGGCGTTCTGTTATTCCTAGGTGAGGTTCCCATACAGTCACACGCCACATCATCAGGATGATGCTATCATACGTATTACATTTCACTGTTTTGCTGTTCACTATATCGCATTTTTAGAGACTTTACATTGTTTATGCTTGATAGCGAAAGTGTTTTTTACGGGTACATGGCAGGGCAGCACGTTATTAGACCGGTAATCATGACGCCGTGACTCACCAATGTGTACACATACACACGAGTTAAAATCTGTTAGTCACTTACAAAACGATGCTATTATAGATTCGATAGTTTGGCAGATTTGGTGCAACACTATCTTCCTGTGAGACGAAGTTAAATATTGAATACAAAAACAAATTATATTCAGGAAGGTTTATTTCATTTGTAGATTTTGAGAAGCACATATCAATATTAGCGGAACTTTGTCCCAAAATTTACCCATGATAACTTAAAAATAAACTAGCACACTATCCGAAAAAAAATGAGTAGATTACTGTCATTTCAATCGGCATTTCAGCTTCGAACCAGATTATCTTGGACTAGTAACTGGAGCACAAGGGTCGGAGAATTTGATATTTATAGGGCGTATTGAAAACAAGAGAAGTTAGGGAAAATAGAGTAACCGACTTAGCAAATGGATGGCAAAAGAAAAGGTCAAAGCAATAAAAGACATGATTTTTTTTAAACCGTTTCACTACATGCAAAGCATTAAAGCCACTAAGACGCAGTTGGTTACTGAGTGTGAGAGAATATGAAAAAAAAAATATTAAGGAGAAATAGTAGTAAAAAAAAACAGGATTTAAGAAGGTAACGACTGAAGAAGCAAGTTGACCGAAAAGCAAGAACCAAGAAGAGAGTTCCACAAGCGAAAAGTACAAAGAAGAAACTGTTAGCATAGAACTTACGGTTACATCTAGCCAATTCAACAGCAAAATAATGAGACCTTGCTGCCAATCTAGTACTGCGCTTAAATGCATAAAGTCTAGGTACCATACAGGAAAAGTTATCAGAAAAATTATCATGAAAATATTAATGGAAAAGGCACAGGGAAGCTAATGAAACGGAGATGTGAAAAGTGACTGAGGCCGAGATGCCAGGTCAGGACTAATAACATAGCACATTTTTCTTTGGATTTTATCAAGAAACTCTAATTACATAACAGAAGCACCAGATGAGATGTGACAGCAATATTCAATGCATGGTAAACTTATAAATGCGTAAGACAGATTTTTGTGAGAAAAATTGTCTAGCACTGTTTGTATCTCCGACAGATACAGACAGATAGACAAACTCATATAAACAGACCGAGAGAAATAGACAGACAGATATAGATATATATTACCAGATCATGATAAACAGACAGATATAACTAGACCGTGATAGATACAACTAGACCTTGATAGCTAGATAGACAAACTAGACCTAGATAGATAGATAGATAGAACTAGACATAGATAGAACTAGACATAGATAGATAGATAGAACTAGACATAGTTAGCTAGATAGATAGATAGATAGAACTAGACATAGTTAGATAGCTAGATAGATAGATAGAACTAGACATAGTTAGATAGCTAGCTAGATAGATAGATAGAACTAGACATAGCTAGATAGATAGATAGAACTAGACATAGCTAGATAGATAGATAGAACTAGACATAGCTAGATAGATAGATAGATAGATAGAACTAGACATAGTTAGATAGATAGATAGATAGATAGATAGATAGAACTAGACATAGTTAGATAGATAGATAGAACTAGACATAGTTAGATAGCTAGATAGATAGATAGAACTAGACATAGTTAGATAGCTAGATAGATAGATAGAACTAGACATAGTTAGATAGCTAGATAGATAGATAGAACTAGACATAGTTAGATAGCTACCTAGCTAGCTAGCTAGCTAGCTAGATAGAACTAGACATTGTTAGATAGCTAGATAGATAGATAGATAGAACTAGACATAGTTAGATAGATAGCTAGATAGATAGATAGAACTAGACATAGTTAGATAGATAGCTAGATAGATAGAACTAGACATAGTTAGATAGATAGATAGAACTAGACATAGTTAGATAGATAGATAGAACTAGACATAGATAGCTAGATAGATAGATAGAACTAGACATAGTTAGATAGCTAGATAGATAGATAGATAGAACTAGACATAGTTAGATAGATAGATAGATAGATAGAACTAGACATAGTTAGATAGATAGCTAGATAGATAGAACTAGACATAATTAGATAGATAGCTAGATAGATAGAACTAGACATAATTAGATAGATAGATAGATAGATAGATAGATAGAACTAGACATAATTAGATAGATAGATAGATAGATAGATAGCTAGATAGATAGATAGAACTAGACATAGTTAGATAGCTAGACAGAAATAGACATAGTTAGCTAGACAGAACTAGACATAGATAGATAGATAGATAGATAGATAGATAGACAGAACTAGACATAGATAGATAGACAGACAGAACTAGACATAGATAGATAGATAGATAGATAGATAGATAGATAGATAGATAGAGACTAGAGTGTGATTGATAGATAGTTTTCGTCCTTGTCCTCTCCCGTCCTTTCCATTTCCCTTTTTGTCCCTTTATTCTCACCTCCAGAAATTGACAAATAAAGAAATGCTGTGGTTCGTGGAAGACTTTCGGAACTCGGAAAGAAGTTCTCCCACGCAGTGTTCAACAGTGAGAAGAACCGCTCGACTCCGTCAGACCAGCAGGCGCCGTCGACATGAAAGAGATCTCTCCAGGGGAAGAATCTCAATTGCTGACGGAAAGAGAGAAAGATCTGAAACAGTACCAAACTCCGGCTACCATTTTTTTTTCTTTCTTATCACGAGAAGGAGGTACGGTACACCCCGACATGTCATACAAAAATCGGTTTGTTACTATTCTTGTAAAGGAAAACACTTATAGAGTTTTATTTATTTATGTATTTATTATATTTGTCCCACCTTTATCATTTTTCTTTTTTTTTTTTAAGCTTCAATCAAAACAATGGCTTTGTTTTCACTATTCGAAATGCTAAGCAAAATATATCATAATAAAATATTTATTGAACGGAAATTTCATTTTTTCGTTTCTATATACTTTTAAAAAAATCTGTTACTGTCTCAAATAAGGGAAGTTTTCTTCTTTTTTTTTTAATAAAATATAAAAAAGAAACTTTATTACTTTTTTTGTAAAAAATAAAATATATTTTGCTTTGTGTTTTCAGATTTAAAAAAAGATCTAAAAATAGTTTGCACATCTCGGCAAAACGTGATGCTAAAGTAGATGACCAAAAACATATTTTTTTTAACTCAAATACGATGGAAATAAATAAAAAAAAGAATAAAATACAAAGAAAAACATATTATTGGAAATAAAATTATATATCAAATGTACTTGCATATTTATATATATATATATATATATATATATATATATATATATATATAGTGTATGTGTGTTCAGGTGTATAGATGAGCGGGAACCATTGTTTACTACAAATTTCATTGAACAAACTCACAATGTAGTTTTTTTACATATTTCTTGTATACGAAAAAGTTTCTTCTTTTCTAAACTTAATGAATGTGTAATACGGCCATTACTTAGTCGCATACTTTTGATGAGCATTTTTGGGTGCGGGACGAATAGTTTTCAATACCCACTCGAATATATGTATTTAAATATGTGTGATAGATATATAAATACCCAGACAGGGACAAATGGAGAAAAGAAATACTGTGAGAGAAAGATCACGTTACCTACCGTGGCATATAAGTAAATACACACAAATATTTGAATATATATATATATATATATATATATATATATATATATATATATATATATATATATATATATATATATATATATATATATATATATATATGTGTGTGTGTGTGTGTGTGTGTGTGTGTGTGTGTACAGTGTAACCCGGATATAAGAGAGTTGTCGGGACCGGAGAAGAAGTCTTTTATATCCGAGTTTGGTCTATTTTATATACATTAACACAGGCTCTAATTTGGGACCAGAAAATCTCTCTCTTATATATATATATATATATATATATATATATATATATATATATATATGTGTGTGTGTGTGTAGATAGATAGATAATGCCTACACTAATAAAAAATGCGCTTATAACAATTTAATAAACAGGGTATATTTAACATACTCTTGGCATTGAATATCCGTAACAATAATATTCTTAACTACACAATCTTTAAGTAAATTAACTTTAGAAAGAAAATCAAAACAAATTTTAAGGCAATAATTAACAAGGAAGTTACGTTAGTACGTAAGCAAACATTTATAAATGAAAAAAACTTGATACAAATACATCCAATGTGTACATATTCATATAGGGGGTTTGGAAAGTAACTCCCTATTTCATGTATGATGGACCCTCCCGTCTTGTAAAATTTATAGTTAGACGGGAGAGTTCATCATACATAAAATAAAGAGTTACTTTTTTTAATCACCTTGTATGTGTATGTGTGCGTATATATATATATATATATATATATATATATATATATATAGAAATAAGCAGTTCTTAAAAAAAAGAGTCTGCTATGTATACATATCAGAAAGAAAAGTGCTCAACACCATACAATATGGTAGAGCTTTTCTAGTGGTCGGATTGTGTAAACGTGAATGGTGATTATACATATATATATATATATATATATATATATATATATATATATATATTCTGAGTGTTTAGACGGCAAATGTTATTTAAAGGCAAATATTATTAAAGATAACATACTTTTTCTTTTCGATGAATTTCCATCAGAAATTGCCAGAAGTTTATTTCGGAAGAAAAGTACAAAAAAATATTGTTCAAGCTTTCGACTTCCTTACTTAAGCCAATATATGTGTCGATATTGAGTATTTGTCTATCTCACAAAAGTCACTAGTTCTTTCAAACTCACAAATCATGTGTTTGTATATATACATGAATCCCTCGATTAGTGCGGCTAATTTGTACATCGATAACTATAAAAATATCAGTTTTCAAATACTATGTTTAAACTGAAGAATGTTTTAGCGCACTAATTGAATTTTGGTATATTAAAATTTTAGCGCACTAATCGAGGGATGCCTACATATGCAAATACAAAAATTGAGACATGTTTTTTTTTTTTTTAATAATTTAAACAAGTTTTGTCTACTTATTTTCAGCTGGATCCTTATATATTCACAGACAGATTTTGGGTGTCATTATTAAAGGAAGAGAAAAAAAAATCACCGTATACATATTTTAATGTCCAAATTATTCAATGAAACATACACACAATTTAAATATAAAAATACATATTGATGTATATAACACACACACATTTTATATATATATATATATATATGTGTGTGTGTGTGTGTGTGTGTGTGTGTAAGGAAAGAACGGGCGAGTGATTGGGATATATACGTATAAGTTTGTTGAAAGCACTCCCGATGCTTCCTGATATTTTGAAGTGTCAAAGAGACACTTACAGAATTTCAATTGTACATTGATATGTTAATCTCACCCACTTGCTTTCGAATTCGACTCCCAGTTGAACATGTTAAAATCAACCACAACTGACTCTATTGTAGCATTTGCGTTTGCCATGTGTTACTGTCACGGCCTGACAGGGATTGCATGATATTTTATTGCCGAACACCCTTTAAAAAAGAAACAGTTTGAAAAGATACCAGTACCAGCCGATGACCTCCGCAGACTATCTTTTGTGAGATTCTACACCGACGGCTCGACTTTAGATTGTATATTACAAACATAGCCTCCATATCATCTCAAAGTCATGGCCCGGCATGAACAATAGGTGATAACTTACTTTAAAAAAAAAAAAGTTTAAACGTATAGCAAAGGAAAATAGATGGCATGGCATTTGGAAAGGGTTAATATATTTAAATGTTACAGTTGGAAGGGGACTACTACATCGGGTGATGTTACCATCTGGTTTGTTCACTTATAAGTGCGAAAGTTGTGAACGTAGTCACTAAGTACACACTGACAAATGACTCTTCTGTGTTTGAGCAGAAAAAGAAAAAAAAAACTTTTACGATGATTGATTCTCAGAGCAAGAGACAAAAATATCAATTTCACTTGCAAACACCTGAAGCTGGTCTGTGAAAACCAGGCAATGCAATGCACACTACATACGTAAACAAAAAGGAAAATCCTTTTCTTTTTACATTATATATCCTACTACTACAAACATTATTTTATAGATACCCATGTTTTCGTGAGTGATTTAAGACTTAATAAAGGGGGCATGCTCCCCGGCATCGTTTGAACATGTGCCACCCTTTATAATAGAATCCATTGTTTGATTCAGCGTGCTTTAGGCTGCACAGGAACAAAGTGAGAGGCACATTTTAGCAAAACTCAATTATACTTCTGAAGCATACATATCTTCTCGTTCAGATTTCAAAAGCATGTCCTCTCGTTCAAATCAGTGCTCATTTTTTTCTGTATCCCAAACAAAATTATTTTCATAGATTTTTTTACCTGAGATTATTTTCATAGATACATACATGATAAAATAATTGGAACGCCAAGCTTTCTACTTATTTAGTTTCTACCAATCACGTATCATCAAGCAGTAAAATTCTATTGCCAGATGATACCTGATTGGTGGAAACGAATTTAGCATTAAGATTGGTCTGCCAATTATTTCATATCGTAAATTGGTCTACGTTTTCGTATTTGAAAATTTTATTCAGTACATTTTTATTCATTTAAGTCGGTCTTTCAAAAATATTACTTTTTGTCAAAAGTTGTATCTTTTAAAAGGCATATATATACAGTGTAACCCGGATATAAGAGAAACTCGGATATAAGAGAGATTTTCTCTGGTCCCAAATTAGAGCCTGTGTTAATGTATATATAATAGACCAAACCCGGATATAAGAGAAACCCGGATATAAGCGACTTCTTCTCCGGTCCCGACAACTCCGGGTTACACTAATATATATATATATATATATATGCGCAAGAATGCAGAAAAATAGGAAGGAACACGTCAGGTAAATAATCCGGAGTTCCTTAGTATTTTTGTTTTTCTTTTTAAGAAGACAGTGCTCCATACAGAAGTAGAGCTTATATTATAATATTTTTTTGTTTAAAAATCTGATTCCTTCGCTACATAAGAGTTCTCATGTTTCAAAAACGAGATCCGAAACCATCAATATAATTATTAAAATTAAGTTGAATCAAGGTGTTGGGTCCCGTTTCATCTTGATTCAACTTAATTTTAATAATTATATTGATGGTTTCGGCTCTCGTTTTTGAAATCGAGAGAGAGCGCTAGAAAGTTTTCAGCCTGACGCACTTCACGAACTCCGATTAAATGACCAAATATCAACTCAGATTTAGCACGCTTTTGGAGTAGAAATAATGGTTAACGAGCTAGACAATTACTACGGAGGATAGCAGGTGCTCAAAACTAATGACCTTGTGTCAAATTAAAATAAGTATAGGAAATAGTTTGTTGCCTTGGCGTGGGGTAATGGAGAGCGAGCATACTCTCGTTGTCAATTCAGGACGTCGGCGATCACAGCTCTCCACAAATTCCTATATTTTGTAACTAAGCAATATTTATTCCTTTGCTATGTCTTTCTTTCCTTTTTCTGTTGTCCATTCGCCCGAAATAATATGGGCAAATTTGAATAAGCTCGTGAGGTTATTTAATTTGAGTAATAGAAAATTGAATTAAAAACGAAGCATTAGCTAAAATCACGGTAATATCTTGAAATTTTAAATTCTGCAATTATATTTTCCAAGGAAACATGTACTTAAAATCAGGTAATAATTTTTTCTGGGACACCTAATGAAGAAAACGGACTTAGTGAATGTAGTACTCACAGGTCATGCTAAAGAGAAGAAGAAGAAGAAATAAACATTCAATATTAAGTCCGTGTGCGTAGATGGCAGAATAGGATCAATGAAGGATGGTAATGAGTAAAAAAAGAGACAAAGCTGTGGAGAATCATGTTCGTCCACGTCTTAAAGTGATATGGTCCTTAAAAATAGAAGTATATGATGCAATACACAATTTAGCTGAAAGGGGTCCAATTTTATAGCTATTGTCGCCTCATTAATTAAAACTGAATAATGAGGCTACGAATTAATATGAAAACAAATATGTCGGGATAGCTTTCCTTCCAATTCCAAATTAGTTTGCAAGATGCATTGGTTGGCCATATAACCCTTAATGACTCATTTTTACAGAGAGATCTTTGTAACATCCGCTACTTTTTCTTTTCAGGGTCGGAGAGAAGACCTGTAAAACTTTTCTTTATTCTGGGAACATGTTTTTTTTTCTAAAAAAACAAAAAATCATTGGTATTCCGGGGAGTTCCATTTGTCATTTGAAATTTGGGGAATATAATGTAGAAAGAGCATCTGGAGAATTCGACACTCACAGGACAGAATGAAGGCAAGATGGGCAGATTGGAAACAGCGAATAATCTACCTGCGTCTACCACATTACTTAGAGCTACAAATGATTGGAAGTTGTGGAGAGCCATAATCAGCCACACCCTAAAAGTACACGCTACATAGAAGGGGAAAGGAAGAGAAAAATTAAGACATGCGCCACGGATTGCGTGCTACGCTCGCATTTGTTTTACGCATGCGCATTCGACCGAACAGACACAGCAAGGGAGAAACGTAAGTTAAGAAAGCAAACAATCTCACACCGTAAACATTATTTTCTAATTGAGGGTTTATTTTATCTAAAGATGTCTGTGTTTGTTCGACTAACAATACCATTATGTCGTGAAGAATATCTCATTGAACCTTCGCCGTTCAAGAAAAAAACACACACACACACAATATATATATATATATATATATATATATATATATATATATAAAGAACTATATATTTTAAGGGTTATAAAAAAAAAAGCAAAATAAAAAAAGTACTTTTGTACTGAGATCAATTCTCTTTCAGTCGATCCGGCTTCAGGTGTTAGAAAAACGGACAATGGACATCGAAGGCGACGCCATATTTAATCGACTATCTTTTGTTGGAATTTACGCCCTTTCTATTGAGGTATGATCCGATGCTATTGTTCTTCTCTGACAAAGGATTAGCCGTCACGTTGTTATAGAACAATAATTTCGTAATTGTTACTTGCTTGTCGATGATGAGGAAAACATCGTCACTTACAATCAACCAAACAAAAGACCTGAGACGGCAAATAGAAAGAAATACAAGAGAATAAATCGGCCTGATATTCCTATATAAATATATTCATATGGAACGCCAAGAGAGAGAGAGAGATGGAAATAATGTATCTTTATTTGAGAATACTTAGAGCGCTTGCATTGGCACCTCCATGCATTATGGACCAGCCGGTAATATTGCTACACCATCATAAGAGTTACACTCTTTGTCTACAGTTCTTGGATAGTTCAAGCACGCGGGGTATATGCTAGGGTTTTAAAAGTCAAGAAAACCTTATTTACATTATTCGGACTACTGTCCCCATCTTTGTTGCCATATTTATCACAACGTTTCGACCGTTGTACCCTTCGGCTTTGTTCAGGTGGTTGGAATGTCGAACTGAACCCTTCATTTCGCTCGCTGGGGTAGACTGTTCTAGTTCAACTTGCTATGTCTAATGGATGTCAGTTATCAGTTATCTTTTGTTAATTCCCCTCTCCAAGTTCTCCCCTGCCTTAACTAGGTATTGAACTCACAACTCAATAAGGAGTGCCAGAGAAAAGCAATAACAACAACGAAAATTGCAATATGAGCTCTGGTAAAAAAAAAAATCCAATAACAGCAAAAAACTGCAATATGAGCAATGGTAAAAAATGTTTGCTGAAGACGTTAAGTTTACAAATCCCAGAAATTCATATACATGGCACAGTGGATAAAGGCGTTGGTTAGATCCAGTGACAGGACCCAAGGAGTGTGAGTTCAATACCTGGTTAAGGCAGTGGAGAACTTTCAGAGGGAAATTAACAGGAGATAACTGATAACTGACATCCATCAAACATGGCACGTGGAATTAGAACAGTCTACCCCAGTGAGCGAAATAAAGGGTTCAGTTCGGTATTCCAAACACCTGAAGAATGCCGGAGCGTACAACGGCCGAAACGTTGTGATAAATATGGCGAAAAAGATGAGAACAATAGTCCGAATAATGTAAATAAAGTACATAATACCTCATCTCAGAAATATAGACAGACGCCAGAAAACCTTGTAGCAAGTTTTGTTTTCCGTTGAAACTAACCAGCTGTGTTTGATAGATCGACCACATATACATACTGACAATTTTAAGGAACATTTCAGAATGTTAGCCCGAGAAAGTGCAACGAGCCATTCTCGTGGAGGTTAGCATCAGTCATGTCGATGGAAGGCAGAAAAGGAGACTCTAGCGTTAAAATTATAAAGAAAAATATAATAAAAACAGAAATAAACTGGTTATAAATAATCTAAAACATTAAGATTAAACAAAAAAAATACAAAAAAAATTAAGCTTAAACAAAAAAAAATACAGAGACAAACTATTTTCCTCCTGCTCTACTTCCCATTAGCTACCAATGGCCTATGTATATACAGCCACATAAAGATTAGTAACACATGCTTTGAAAACTGTGACAGTCACCACTCGTGTGTGTGCATATCAGTATATTTAGATAAGAAAACAGTTTTAACATGATTTATTAAATAGAACGGTCAGTGAAAGTTTGTTAGACAATTTTGGTGATTTTCCCCATATAGCTAGGCTGGAAGAATTTTTTTTTTTTTAAATCGGTATCACCCCGATAAGGCCAGTAAAACATAGAGGGTGGAATAATTAGGAAGATAAACATTAATAATGAACGGAAAGAGAAAAGTGTAATCAGGAGGACAGTAGATAGCGATTGACACTGCATTTTAATATTTGCAGATTAAAGTTGTCTGGAAACCACGAAACCAGAAGGGAGTTCCACAAGCGAGAAGTGCGAGAAAAGAAACAGCATAGAATTTACAGTTACATCCAGCCAGCTCAACTGTAAATTGACGAAATCTCGACGCCAATCTAGTGCTACGCTTAAATTCAATAAGCCTAGGTACCATAGCGAAGACCTCATCCGAACAATTACCATAAAAAATATTTATAGAAAAGGTACAGAGAGGCAACCTTACGACGGTGGGTAAGTCGAGCCGACAGATCAAGACCAATAATATTGCTGATTCTTCTTTGAATTTCATCAAGAAGCTCAAGGTAAATAGCAGGGGCACTGGACGATATGTGGCAGCAATATTCTCAGTATGGGCGAATGGTGAACTTATAGATATGTCAGATAGATTCCGGAGAGAAGCATTGTCTCGCACGACACAGAGGGGAGGGGGAAAGCAAAAGTGGAGGAGAGGAACAGAGAGAGGGAGGAGGGGGAAGGAGAGGGGAGACGAGGGAAAGGAGAAAGAAACCAGACGACAATTAAAAGAGAGAGAGAAAAAGAAAAAAGGGGATAAAAACTCTTTGCCGAGAGAAATACATGCAAAATGAAGAAAACAGGGAAGTAAAAGCGAGACAGACTGGTAAAAGGAAGACAAAAAGAGGTGAGGAAAAGGAAGACAAAAAAAACGACATGAAGAAAAGGAAGACAAAAAAGAGAGGAGGAAAAGGAAGACAAAAAAGAGAGGAGGAAAAGGAAGACAAAAAAGAGAGGAGGAAAAGGAAGACAAAAAAGAGAGGAGGAAAAGGGAGACAAAAAAGAGAGGAGGAAAAGGAAGACAAAAAAGAGAGGAGGAAAAGGAAGACAAAAAAGAGAGGAGGAAAAGGAAGACAAAAAAGAGAGGAGGAAAAGGAAGACAAAAAAGAGAGGAGGAAAAGGAAGACAAAAAAGAGAGGAGGAAAAGGAAGATAAAAAGACAGGCTATATCAAAGAATGCGGGAGAAAGAGACAAAGAAAACAAAGAAAATAATGAAAGGCGAATGTATAGGAAGGAGAGAAAGAGAGAGAGACAAGGAAAAGATGATGAATGAATGAGAGTGAGAAAGAGAGAAATGGGTAAAGAGAAACAAAAATAGAAATATCGTATATACTCGAATATACTGCGAGTTTTTAGGGTCTTTTTTTACCCAAAATTAGGGGGTCGCACTATACACAGATTTTGAAGAGGTTAAAAATCATGCATTTTTGGAGTCCGGTTACACTATACACAGGTAATTTTTTTTCTGGAGGAGGGGTAAAATTGATTTTTTAAAAATTCAGGGATCGTACTATACACGAAGTCGACTTATACACGAGTATATACAATGAACAACAAGAAATAGATATAAAAGAAAAAAACGAGTGAGATAGAATCAAAATAGCGACAGGGAAAAAAGAAAGGAAAAGTTATCTTAAAAAGTAAGTTCTTTATTCAAATAAATACACACAAAAAAAATGACACCGTTTCTACCACCGCGTGGCCATCGAGAATAAAATTTGATTATAAAAAGATTGACATCATGCCCGTTGTCGGACCGTCTTTTATTCAGTAACGCTCAAATGAGATGCACCCAGTAAGAAATATCACCTCACCAGGCATAGATGAAGAGAATAAATTGGTCTAGCGCGGTAAAGAGTTGTCTGTAATGGTGCGAAGTGTCACGCCGTTTAATTGGTCTAATTATTTTTGTCAAACTAATTGTTGATCTTAGTAATTCGCGTTTATTTTGCCAGTTGTTGGGTTGGGTGAGAATAAAATGAATTAAGATGTCGAGCCAGAAATGTAAAAGAAATAAAAAAAGAAAGAAGTAAAAGGCGGAAACAATTTCTCGTCGTGACAAATCTGCCATTTTAGATTTTATTAGAAAGCAACTGAATTGTTCCGAGATTACAAAATGAAGTATTTTAGATATTTACCGAGCGTAGCTTAGTATGTCATAACCATCTGAGAAGTCTTATAACATAAATTGTCGGACTGGGTCTAAAAATATTTGTTTTTTTATCATTTAATTTTCAGAACGAATAAATAATTTTTTTTTACACAAATACATATGGAAGAGAATGTACAGGCTGGTCTGAATGTTTTGACACCTCTAAATAATATAATTTTCTATTTCAGTTGGCTGACACGAGTTCCTATAGTTTGGAAGAGAGGCTGCTTGCATGTCTATCGACACATGATCGTTTGCATTCTAGCAAGAGCAAACAGAGATTTTTCCCATCAGTCGAAGGAGACCGTTTGGAGAGCCTTTGCAACAAAGCACAGCTTCGTAAAATATCACGCAGGATATGTCGCCGTATCATTTTTTTTTTTTTTTGCCATAAAAATGATGGTGTTCATAGACCTTCTCGATGTGTGACAGCGTCAATAAAATGAATAAACTGAATCCCGTACATGTGCTTTCTATTACCGTATTACTTGTGCTATTGTTTTAATTACTTTTTAGTATGGGTGACAAGATTTTCGGACCACCCTCTATAATTAATTTTTTGTCGAAAAAAAAATGTATTTTTTAGTAATTACAGTGTACATGTACTATACATACTACCAGTGGTAGATATCAAATGTAAATACATAATGCTATAATTTAATTTTTTTTTACTCTAAATAATTGGTTGATATTTTTAAATAGCTTACTGCGCAGTTTATACATTAACAGAAAGTTCAATAGCATTGCATGCAGTCCACTATATTAAAAGCAGTCGTTTGTGTTCATTGGATGAATGTTTGAATCTGCCAATAATTGTTTCTGCGTCCAATTCATATAGCAATTCCTTTGCAATGGATAGCAACATGTAGGATTCCAAATTCTCTTCAGACAACGAATTTCTTAACTTTGGTTTCATGATCTTTCGCTTTGAAAATGTCCTCTCACATTGAACTTGAGTAACTGATAGTGTGCAGATATCTTTAGAAATTTCTTATTCCTTTTTATTACTAAAACATTTGTCTGTGTTTGGTTTTTTATTGCATTTTATTTGATATACGGACACGCTTCATTAGGGGCCTACCTGCCATCAGGGAAGCTGAAACCCTGCTCAGTCCGCTACTGATAACATACTAAGTTACTCTTGGCAAATGTCAAGCCTAACTTCATTTTGGAATCTCAGAACAATTACGAAAACCGAAAGTGCATTGGAATAGTAGCCAATGCCTTCCAGATACTAAACAAAATATTACGAAACAGGAAAACTTCTTCAAGGACACATGGCTCAGTGGATAAAGACGTTGGTTAGATCAAGTGACTAGACCCAAAGAGTTGCGAGTTCAATACCATGCTTAAGCCAAAAAAAAAAAAGAAAGAAAGAAAGAAAAACTTGGCGAGTTGAATTAAAGAGAAATAACACCCGGAAGAGGCATGGCACGTGAAAATAGAACAATCCAACCCAGTGAACGAAATAAAGAGTCCTGTTCGAAATTCCAATCACCTGAAGAAGGGCGTACAACGGTAGAAACGTTGTGAATATGGCAATGAAAATGAGGATAACAGCCAAAATAATGTAAATAATCATAATACCTCATCTCAGAGATATAGACAGATAAGGCAAAATTCTTTAGAAGCGGATAAAAACAGGTTGAATTTTAATGTGGTATCAATCCGCTAATATAGAAGTGAATAGTGATAATATCCTCAAAGATGAGTTGAAATTCCCACCAACTCTTTTGCGTTTACTATTGCACGAATGTCCTTTGAAAAGATACAAATATGTACCTTCTCCCACCCATCTATGGATTAAATAGCTACCGAGCCTCCAGTGACAACAAGTCTAAGAGAAAAAGTACACTGAAAAAAAAAAAAAAGTGGAAAAAGGCAGCAGGAATCCGCGCTATTACCTATTCCAAGATGGCGGTAATTCACAGATAATAAAAGGAATCCGTGGAGAGCCATGATCTCCTACCTTTTGAACAGATATAATGATTTTCAAAGTACGGGGCACCCAGTGACGATTGAATGCATTATTCCGTCGTAAAGGTATTAGCGAGACATTCTTGCTAACGCCACATCAACGTGTCCCGTCTCGAACGGATATGGCATTAAACTAAATTCGGTAACTGCGTTTTGAATGTAAAGAGAGAATTGGACATAAAGGGCCTGAAAAAAAAAAAGGTACCGAAGTGTTAAAGCTCCCACCAAACAAACAAGCAAGCAAGCAAAAGAAATGAAGTGTTGGTGACTTGCTTTCTGTTGTATTCTTTGATCTTAGCAGTTTCGTTTTGATGATTTTATAACAAACAAACAAAAAATGAACACTTGTTATTTAAACGTTTCTTTAAAAAAAAATGTCTGAACTTAGCTAAATCTAGCATAAGGCAGCAAGTGCCAATTAGTGAACAAAAAAAAACTCTGAGAATGCAGACGCCGTGCCGTTTGGTAATGATTAACAAGTTAGTAGTAGATTTTGTTAATCTTTTCTCTATAGATGGCCAAACCGTTGAATGTAGACCCCCTCAAAATTGGTATGCATACTTAGTGGAGCCAAGGAAATGACGCAATGTGGAAAATTGTTCCTCAAAGAGTGACGGGGACTCTCTTCGAGTGGGGTCCTCTAACAAAAAACAATGATCAGCGGGAAGCCATGTTGCTGCAAGACATATCTAGTCGGACTGAATTTGAATTTTCAAACATCAAAAGAAAGAAAATTAGCAGCTCAACATCATTATTAAGGAATCGTTTCGCTGTCATTATAACCAGCTGTGACCCGAGACTTAACACGGCGTAAATGGGCACTTAAACTAGTGTAATGCATGCATACATATTTTATATGTTTGTACGGGTATATAATAGATAGATAGATAGATAGATAGATAGATAGATAGATAGATAGATAGATAGATAGATAGGAACACACTTGAGATAGATAGATAGATAGATAGATAGGAACACACTTGAGATAGATAGATAGATAGATAGGAACACACTTGAGATAGATAGATAGATAGATAGATAGATAGATAGATAGATAGATAGAATCTTCTCATTCTTTTACACACCCAGCATTTGCGTTTATTAGAACTTTAAACAGATGAGAGACAGTAGTAAGTGAAAATAATTTTATTTAGAATTATCAATGTTCTATCTCTTGATACCGAGCAATAAAATTACCAAACCAAAACTGTCTTAAAAATCTTTGGTCGATAGATTTCTCCAGAATGAACCTTACCGACTGCTTTTATCAGTATTTATATGGGATTTTTATAAACTTCTAGGCCCGTCCTAGAATTATTCTGAAAAAAATCTTATGCTTTGTCATTCGATTAGTTACTGGAGTAAGATATATATATATATATATATATATATATATATATATATATATATATATATATAAATACACCGTTACATTAGAACATGTAAATATCCACTACAAAATTGTGGATTTTGTTTCAACGTTAAAATGAAAATTTTGTATTGAGCCCTGTTTTAATGATTTGAACGTTGAAATTTTATTCTTCGTTCTTTTACACACACACACATATATATATATATATATATATATATATATATATATATATATTCATTCAATTTCATTCAGCCATCTTTAGCAGTCTTTTTTAATGTCGAACGTGATTACAAATCAGGCTACTCTTTCATACACCCGTTTCGTTACACTGACCGTCAGTCTGCCGTCATTAGCGCAGTTCTCTGCCGTTATCTTTACTCTTAGAATTTGAAAATACCAACCGCAGCCTCACCTTCCGCCAAAATGTGCGGGTCACCAGAGGGCGTTGGCAAAGTGGGCGGAGTCAACGCAGGCGCGGGGTCCTTCAAGGCGAGAAGAATCGCACTGATTAGGCGCGAGTTATCAATGCTTATTCAATTATAACAATCTTCGTTCCTTTTGATATTCTGGGTTCTACAATTTGCTGGCGGAGCCCGGCAGAAGTGCCCGGATGCTAGCTGCAGCCATGAGAGTGGAACGGGAAAGAAGAACGCCTAGCAGAAATGGACACGGTTGAGTGATGACGGCAGAGGACTCGAATACTCGCTTGAAGGCAAATTGAGTTGACAGCAAGAGAGAGGATCGATGGGGTGAGATTAGATCAATACCGAACTGATTTGGAGGAAAATTTATGTGCATGTGTATGAAACTTGTGGTATACAATATTCGGCAATGCTATATATATATATATATATATATATATATATATATATATATATAGAGAGAGAGAGAGAGAGAGAGAGAGAGACAGAGACAGAGAGAATGGAAAACAGATATAGATAAATAAGTAGAAAAATTAAACAAGAGAATGATGAAACGAGTGTCTGTCTAGTTATATATATATATATATATATATATATATATATATATGGAGAGAGTGTGTAGAAACCTGAACAAGTGAACGAGAAACAATGGCCAATGTGTGTGTGTATGTATGTGAGAGAGAGAGAATCAGAATCAATTCATCGATAAAAAAAAGAGACAATTTGTGTGAGGAACATATAAAATGTTTAAAAAAGTGATGCAGGAAGGGGGGGGATGACACTCTCGCCGAAAAGAAGCAAAAGGATAAATACACTCACAAAAGCGCGCCAGAAGCAGTGTGTGTGTGTGTGTGTGTGTGTGTGTGTGTGTGTGTGTGTGTGTGTGTGCGTGTGTGAGTGAGAGAGAAACACACACACACATCTTATTTCTTATTTCCCCCCCTAACAAGGCAATAAAGCCACTAAGACACAAGAGGTTACAGAGTGTGAGAGAATATGAGAAAACAAAACCTTATTAAGGAGCGAGAACAATAAAAGAACAGGAATTCAGAAGATGGAAGGTAATGATTGATTTAAAATTTTTGGAGGTCCAAGTTGACTGGAGTTGAGCAAGAAACCGGAAGAGCGATCCACAATTGAGAAGTGCAATAGAAGAAACTGTTAGCATAGAACTTACGGTTACATCTAGCCATTTCAACTGTAAAACGATGAGATCTTGCCACCAATCGAGTAGCACGCTTATGTATATAGGGACATAGAAGTGACAGAAAGTGATAGGCATGTACGTGTAGAGGGAGTGGGTGAGAGAAATAAAAAGAAGTACTAGAATAAGAGACAAAAAGGAAAAAAACAGGATTAGAATCGCGGAGTAAAATAAACTTATCGCAGGTTTTACAAATAAAGGAATGACCAGCGTTGTCCGAAAGTCTTATCACCCCTACCAAAAAGCAATAACAGTAGAACAAGTAATACAGTAATACAAAGCCCATGTATTGGATTCACCTTATTCCATTTCATTGACGCTCTCACACATAAGAAGGCCTGTATGAACACCTTCATTTTCGTGGCACAAAACCCGGATATAAGAGAAACCCGGATATAAGAGACTTCTTCTCCGGTTCCCGACAACTCTTTTATATCCGGGTTACACTGTACCTCAAATTGTTTTGAACTTTAATTGTTGAACTTTTTAAAAGGTAAGCTTAAATATTAATGCAATACTTAAATGCGTCGATCAATTTTGAGTTCTTCTGTAGTTTATCTGGAGTATCTGGAGTTTAGGAGTATCTGGAGTTTATCTGGAGTTTAGGAATAGATGCCTATCGCATCTACTCCTCCCTACCTATTGTGATGAAGGACCAATCAAGGGCCCTTTACAGGACGTAGCTTAAGTGCTGCCCAATAGAGCGGCTTTTAACCTAGTATAACAATATGTGCGTGCGCATGTCTTATTATTTTAAACGTTATAGCGATTTACTGAGCTTAAATATGGCACGAGGCCGAAAATATTGAGCACTTCGTGAATATCGAACTCACTACTCAGTCACAATTAATCTAGCGATACAGACTTGCTGATCACTGCACCATGCTGAAGAGCCCATACTTTAAATGTTATATGTAGTGAATACACGTGTTCGAGTTGCTATTCCGGTTTTTTAAACTATACATCTTACGCCTCCTGGCCTTTGAAATCAAGTATCTTAATAAAGAAACTGTGCTTTCAGGCAGAGTTCGAACCTGCGTCTTCCTTGTAAGAAAAGCCATCCTTAAATCCAGCGTGCATTTAGACAACTATGTCGCGAAATACTTTTACAGTCAAGCAAACATTAATTCTCCTATTTATGAAAAGCCAGACTCTTGTTATATCACGAAGCCCATATCCGTTGACATTTATATGACGTCACTATGTCAAGCTCGATTTCAAATATTTAAATGTTGATCAGAAAAGATCATTAAATAGTAATTACAAGTCCAGGTTACAATTCAAGTTTTAAAAGATATTTGTTTTGATCTTAGAATAAGCGTTTAAGTTACGAATGATCAAAATGATGCGACAAGTCTTTCAAAAGTGGAACATCTTGTCGAAGACCATACTACAAACTTACTGCTCATCATCTATTTAGATTCTTTTTCTGTCTTGCTCACGGCAATTCGTTTTCGGGTGAGCCAAGACAAAGGCGAGCAAGGTGATCTTCCTTCCCGCCTCTAACTCGTCCGCAGAGGTATGTACTTCGCGAACGAAAACAATTCTGAGTCGAAATATAGAATTACTAAGAACAAACAGTTGTCTTCAGTAAAGCTTTCATCGCGAACAACGAGTGTTTCTTTTTCTTTTTTGTTTAATCAGCACTATTGTCTTAAGGCTATTTTTTTCACTTTTTCGGGGAAATGGTTGGCGTCGGGAAGTGGTAATGGGAGAGTTAGTAGAGGACGTTTTTACCAGCTTAATCCTTTCTCGTTCATATATATATATATATATATATATATATATATATATATACACACACACATGTGTATATATATATATATATATACACACACACGTGTGTATATATATATACACACATATATATATATATATATATATACACATATATATATATATATATATATATATATATATATATATATACATACATATATATATAAATAAATATATAAATATATATATACATAAATATATATAAATACATATATATACATAAATATATATATATAAATATATATAAATATACATAAATATATATATATATATATATATATAAATATATATATATATATATATATATATATATAAATATATATATATATATATATATATATACATAAATATATATAAATATATACATAAATATATGTAAATATATACATAAATATATGTAAATATATACATAAATATATATAAATATATACATAAATATATGTAAATATATACATAAATATATATATAAATATATGTAAATATATACATAAATATATATATAAATATATGTAAATATATACATAAATATATATAAATATATACATAAATATATACATAAATATATATAAATATATATATATATATACACACACACACACAATGGACTTCAAATAACTAATACATATTGAATTTTGTATAATCAATTCATTTTGTGAACACGTTTTATTACTATATTGCTAATTTTACGACCCCTGTATAGTAATCAATACACACATATGTCTGTGTGCATGTGTGTGTGTGTGTGTTCCTGCGAGTTAGTGAGAGAACATGGTACACGCATATATTACAGTACGTAAATATACACAATATAGGTACACACGCCCGCACAGACGATACTCCGGTTCATGTGTCCGTACACGGCAAATATCATTATGCACACATGGTCCACATCCACACGTGCTCATGATATATATGCACACCTCCACACGCACACGCATCTCAAATCTAATTTCGCGTTCTATTCTAATAGCATTTCTATTTTTACTGTTTCACAGACTTTCTCTTGTCAGGTAATTGATAGTGACGTTAATCCATGCCGTCAACACGTTAACATTTTGACGGAAGCTTAAACTAAATAACAAAAAGAGGCGGCTTCAAGAAGCTATGACGACTTGATATCGTTGGAACTATTTGCTGAGTGGAGAGATGCTTCCTAAGCATAAATTATTCTGGTACAATGCCGTAAATACTAGTTAGCGTATGATGACTGGACACATGACACGAGCAACTGGTCCGCAAGATGTTAACAAATGCCCAATGGTCACCTCTTTGACCGCAGTGTCTGCAGATAAAAGATGTCTAGTTTTCTTCAAATAGTGAAAGGACAATACGAGAGGGAAATAAGAAAGAAAATAAGATAGAACAATTGAAAGGGGGAAAAAATTTAAGGTTAAAACCTTTTGTACGCGTTATGAGACAAACACGTGCGTCTCCTGAAATAGCCCACTACAAACATGACGGACTCTCCCGGAGTATGAACCCTCCAACAGAAATGCAAATAAATCAATGAAGACCGTTATAGATAGATAGATAGATAGATAGATAGATAGATTTTGAACAATAAAAAAATATTAAAAAATTAAAATCTTCAGACACACTGGGTTGTAGATTAATATTCTTTCGTTTTTTTATTATTATTTCATTTAGATTCCTCGACTAGTTTCGGCCAAAATGGCCATCATATATATATATATATATATATATATATATATATATATATACAAAACAAAAGCTACATGTGTATTAACATACAATAAGGGTTACTATTGATAAAGACAATAATTAGTGTGTATGAATGAACGTAGAAAGTTTGCGGTCATAGTATGTAGTGATTTTCCAAGCATAGCTTAGGTGTGACACAAGGCCAAAAGTAGGGGGCACCCAGTGAGAATCGAACTCACTACTCAGTCGTAATCGTTTTTTAGCGAGACAAGCTTGCTAACCATTACACCGCCTCGAGGTTCCCCTTGTGTCCATAGTATGTATAAGTGAATGTGACTGTTCGTACGTACGTGTGTGTGAAATGCTCATGCGTGTTTCCCGAAAGAAACGCATAGCCCCTCTACACACACACACACACACACACACACACAAAGAGGAAGACGCAAATCTTCACTAGAGATTTACATCGTGGTATATAAGTTGAAAAGTGAGAAGAAAAAAGACGACGTGGTCTCGCCAAGTATATATAGCCAATTGAGAGCGTCCCCAAGTAGCGGTTTCAAAATTAGGAAACTAAGGAGGAGGTAACTCTGACAGACCCACGTTTTGTAAAATGTAAAAAAATATTTTTTTTTAAAAGTTCGTCGTCTGTAGTTCTTTTTTCATATGTTACTGCTGATTAAACACTCCAAATTATGAACTTAAAAAATGATTTTTTTTTTTTTTTACATTTTCAGAAATCACTTCGTCTGAACATATTTTGTTTTGACTTCCGTAAGGGGATCGATTTACAATGAATGTATATTTACCCCTGTTAACATTTAAGAAATTTAAAGTATCTAGAGTACTTTATCTACAGGGTGACTGAAAAATAACTCCTTATTTTATGCATAACGGACTCTCCTGTCTAACTATAATTTATCCAATATATAAAAACAGGGAATAATTTTCAATCACCCGGTATATGTATATATAAAATTTTTTTAAAAAATGTTCATTTTATTTATTTATTTTTCTTTTGCAGTGCCTATTGCAGAACTAGGGCTTACGTTGAAATACCGGTCCCCGTACGATCACCCGAGTTAAGGAACGTCGAGCCTGGTCAGTACCTACATAGGTGACTGCTCGGAAATACCTTTGGAAATGTTATGAGTCCTTTTAAGAAATTTAATTAAAACAGGTTTCTTTTTGTTTTTTAGGTATTCAGGATATGTATTGATTAAAATATATAAGTGTCAGTCAGTTAGTTATATGCCATGCTTAGGCGATCATGTATCTTTCGATACATGACTGACGAGGCAGATTTTTTCCTGCAGTAGGTTGCCATTTCTTTCTGCGGTAGACCAGTTGCCATCCAAGGCTACAGAACCCGGTCTGTCCTGCTATTTGACCCATAACTGGTGGAAAAGCAGAGGATACAACCCTTTCCCAAGGGTATTAGCATGTAAGTAAATGTAATGGATTCGACTGGAATTCGAACTCGGCTCTCCGATTCCTCAATCCGAGCAGTTATCCATTAAAATTTAAAAAAAATGTTTATTTTCGATTGTAGCGCCTATTGTACAACTTCATGGGAAATATTTTTAAAAAGTTAAATAAGGAGAGGAAGTTTACTTTTAAAAAATACTGGCTCACAACCAAATTTAAGCAATAGGTGACCGCTTAGAAAGACTAAGTTAGTAGCCTATGGCGTGGTGCCAGACTCTGCAAAGTTTAGTAAATAAACTGTCATCGCAGTAAGAAAACGTAGGCCTTCAAATACTATAGAGTCTTGTAGATTCTACGAGTTCTTAAATGTTTCTAGTTAAAAGTTCTAAAGCCGGCTTTCTTTGCAGTAATTATTTCCAATTTGCTTGTTTTATTTTTATCTTTGTATTTTATTGTACCTATTTCGTTATTTTTTTTTTCTGCCCAAATGTCTCTTCGTTCTGTCGTTGTAAAACAAGATACATTTGAAGAAATCCCAGAAAGATGAAAAGAATTCTCTTCTCGCCTTCGAGCTGGGTTAATTGTTCGTATTGTTGGCATGTATGCTCGGCTCTCGTTTTGTGAAGACGTCGACAGGTAAGGTGCCAGAGATGAAATGTTTATCGGTATTTACTCTTCTCAGATTCGTGTCGAGGAATGACACCCAGTGAAAATCGAATTCATTACGGTGGTATGCTTGTCTGGATTGTTAACCATTACATCGAGGCGAGGTTCCATCTGCTATGTTTTGCACTCGAAGACGGCTTCTTTCCAGAAACATACCCGTCAATATCCGTCCATGATTTTTAACTGTTTATAACTACTTTAGATGATCTATCTTTATTTTTCGTTTTTTCATTGTTTCTACTAATTGTTTATCCAGTACATGGCCCAAGATTCACTCAAGGTAGTGTATGACAGAATGTTTTATGAACGTACCAATTTTTGTTGCTTTTTCAGTTGGAAGCCTTCAGATGAGGTGTTTTTTTTTTGCTATATAGTAAAGCTCTTTGCGATTATGTAGCGCCAGTCTATAGGACTTGATGAAGGATTTTTTTCTTTAAGAACTAGAGGATTAATTCACTTGAAGCCATTTTTAATCACCGATCTAAGAAGACGGTTGTATATAGATGATAGTTTAAACAATTTCGAACAAGTTGGGCACCATGTGCGATATCTATAAAAGAAAAATAAACGAGGAAGATTATGTTGCTCCAATCTTCCAAGTTAGAAGATTCGGCACTCGACAGCCTTGACATACAATACTCGACAGCCTGGGACATTAGTGCTATGTAGCTATCTTGTTTTCTTTAATAAATATATTTAACTAACTGGAAATGTAAAAGCATATTTTTATTTTTATTTTTTTATTTTACAACTAATTTCTTACTTTCTTAATTCTGTCTTCATCTAATTTACAGCGTCTAGGGTGAATCCAGCAGGTTTTGTAATAATCCTATTAAGGATCCGTTTTGAAATAATAATAGTCATCAACAGTTCGGTTTTTTTTCTTCTTATAGCCATACACAAATAAAAAGGATTAAGACGACATCCAGAAAGCTAGGATTTAGGCGCATGCGTATAAAGATAAACACAATCGTTTCCTTTCACTTCTCACTTGTTTTGACTAAATAAAGAATTTTTCTTTTTTACGATTCTGAGGCCTTAATGGTCAGCGGAATAAGTGTTGTATTGACATTGCCGCCTGCCTTTGTTGGCAAAAATTTGCTGTTACTGCTGAAACAGCTGGAAAGGGAAAAGCTGAGAATAAAAATGGCGGAAGGATGAACGAAAGAATTACGACCGACAACTCTATTTTCAAGTCGATCAAATAAATCGGATAAAACGAAGCCACTGACCACCCGAGCGGACGACATGACTTGGTGGGCACACGCTTAGAGCATTTCATTAAAATGCTATCATCGATTTCTTTTCTTCGCCCCTCTTCTTAAAAGTCTTATTTGGTTTAATTTTCTGTTTCTTCCTACGAGCACGTAGAAAAAAAAATAACAATGTAAAAGGTTGGGCCAGTCAAGCGTAACTTTACATAAGATACAATAAAATGTTTTAAACATTATTAAAAATAAACATATTACTAACTTTTTTTTTTTTTTTTTGCTTTTTAGTACGAGATTCTTGATACTCTTTTCTCTTTGATTGGTGGCTTCCCCGCATCTATTTTCTACTGATCTGTATTGAAGATCTAGATTAAGATTATCTTACCGGAACACCAATCCCACAGCTCCATCTTCTAGAATCAAGAGAAATTCAACAAATCTCTGACAAAAAACAATGGCTGAAACGGTTTTAAAATTATGGTTGTTGAACTCTAAGCTTGCCTAAAAGATTAGAAAAATCGCACAGATACACAAGCAAAATAATTTTCAATACTAAATTCGTTTAGCCAAGCTCAAAAACAAGGAACAAATGAGGAATTGAATTAAAAAAAAAAAAAGATAATGAATTAAGAACAAATACTTATCAGTTTGTAAAGAATAGACAATAAACAGAAACCTTACATATCTTCCTACCTAAATACATAATTTATAGTTGATTCGCCTCGCCCATTCTGCAATACTAGAACAATGGTTATGATTAATATTATTTTACAGTGAGGTTCACCTTGTACAAGTCCCAGGACCCCACGAGAGGTAGAGGGTTACAAAATAAGCGGCACAGTTTATGCAAATAAGTGGGGAAAGATAGAGTTTAACCGTAAAGTTGAACAGGTTAAGATTGTAGTGATCGGAAAAACATCCTCTTTTTCGCGGGAAGAAGCTGCTCGGTCGTAAACTTACAGCTCACCAATGGAATACGAAGGAAATGTAAGCGGTTCGCTACAATGTGCGTGGGATGGCGGGTCTTAGCCGTGAAGGTTATAACTGGTGGAACTAATGTAGTTCATTTGAGCACTTTCCGTGCAGTGAGACGCTTGCGACGTTTCATCTGTGAAAGAGGAGTTCTAGGGTGGAAAATGATTTCTCATTCACAAGGACGCCGAGACGCTTTTGGACTCAAGCGAGACTGAAAAGGGAGGACTGGGCAACTGCTGCCTATATATGGCACCAGTGCTCTGTAGAATTCTTCATAAAGAATCGAGCCGAGCTTCTCGGCTTGACGGTCGAACTCTCTGCCTCTGAGCAGAGAGGAACCCGGACGAGGCTCCGCCGAAGGGCAGAGTCTCGTTCGGGGAGGTTGACCAACCCGATCCCGTTTATACGGGTTCTACGGGCATTTTTTGACCGCGCTTACGGGCTCGGGAAACCCACGTTAAACTCGGCCTTGTGCCACATGCAACCCTCGTGGGGGGGGGGGCTAGATACCGAATTCTGTTTATGAAGACAGAGACACAATCTTTATCAAAATCTGCGAAACTATTTCGAATCCCAGCTGAAGCTCATTAGGCTTCCTTTTGTCTCATATCTCCTGGCGTTCTGTCCTAGCGAAAGATAACAAAGGTCTAATCACTAGCATGTCAGGATGTTTAAGCGTCACAGGTTATCACATATTAGAGTAGCACTCAACTCATGGGCATCTCTTGTAGATAAAGTAGTGCTTTCTCATTGCCTTCTTCACGGCTTTGGAATTCAAAGTTTTTTTTCTTAGACTAGTTGTGACTCAAGGCTAGAGAGTTCAGTCTACCCTTCTATTTAAACCATAGCTAGAAAAAGAAAACATCAATTCATACCTTTACCAAGGCTATTTATGCGAAAGTGAACGCATCATTTTTTTTTTTTTTTTTTACTCTTCTTGCCAACCCCACATTCCGTGCTGATGTGCGCTACACGCGCATCTGCTAAGATTCGGATTTACTACTGAAAGAATTGTCTGCGAAACTAGCTTGTCAACCATTACTTTACGGTAATGTTCCTAAGCAACAGTTTCACTGTAACTTAATTGTTTGAGAGAGTTATCTCCCTTTACCCCGCACACCAAAATTTATTGTAAAGTCAACTTACTAAATTAGATATAAAGCTTAATTTCCGTTTATAAAATTCTTAATCATTTTTGGCGACCAAGCAAGAATTATTTGAACGATCACCGATCGAATTATTGGCAGTTTTGTCTTACTTTAACTCTAATTAAATCTTACAGCAGACTGCACAGAGCGGTAGGTTTTTTTTTCTTCTATATAACTCCAATAATCATTGCAGTTTTTATTTTACTCTATATATGTACGAAAGGAAATTAAGTACATAAAATAATTCGACTGCATTGTTTTTAATGTGTATATTTAATAAAAAAAATGTTTATATGGGTGTACCTGAAAAGAATGACTGATTTTTATATGGATGGTCAAAAGGGCAATTATTAGATCGTCATATACGTCAAATAAATACTTAGTTGCTTGGCTCAGTATGGCACAGCGACGAATAGTAAAAAGAAGAGAGTTTGCGCTAAAGTTTTGCCCAAAGAAATAATCTTGCTAAAATAAGCTTCAAAATCCAAGATTTTAAAGAGTGTCTCGTAATAAAACCGCATTACATTTTAAGCAGCACCAAAATCCATACGTCATCAATATTTTTAATTTGGTTCTTCTAGAGAACCCTTCCTGAAATCCAATTTAGTTTCTGCGCAACGCAGGTTTCTCAGAATTTTTTTGTTTCACATAACCATTCCTTCCATTCACGCGTTGTAAATGCTAGTGAGTATGTTTGGGAAAATTCAGGAGGATATATTCAACATGCGCCTTTTGATAGCACCAGGGTTCTTCTCACCTACCAAACTTATCATTTTCGTGAAAAATTACGCTTTGCGTGACTCCAAACGCAGTACATGCGAACTGTTTCTTCACCAAAGAGTCAGCAAACAAATTCCACGCACAAAAAAAGTAAATATTTATTTTTTGTACACAGCTTCTGTGGTGTTCAGGCCTCACGTAAATGTTAGAGAAATCCCAGAAGTCCAAGGTTGCAACAATGCAATGTCAATCGACTTCTGTCTTTCTTAATTCTGTTCTTTTATTACCATTCCTAAAGTCTACTCATTGTCTTTCACTCTCAGTAACACCTTGCGTCTTAGTGACTTTATTGTCTTACATAGGGTGTTTTTTTTTAATGCTAAGTGCATAATGCTCTATTCTTTTTTGTGATTTGGTGCTAGCAGTTTAGTCCGCACCGCACAATTTGGTTTGGGTTAACTCGCGATAGGGTTTTCAGACGCTTTCCAACGGGTCCCGCTCGCTGAGATCGCCCCTCCGGGACGATGACATCAAGAATTCATCACGCCGACAAATGGTGAGGTTCGAGCCCAAATCTCAAGGTCAGAAAGCGAACGTCAAAAATGAAAAGAGTACAAACTATTTCTTACCCGATTCGTCATCTCTTTTCCGTTTAAAGCTTCCATTATTCAAATTCGCTGAGTTTTGAGAAGGGATTCCCAAGATTCCACTTATTGAATAAGGTCCGGGTCGTGTCATACCATCTGCCCCAGCAGGAGCCTGAGTCTGGTTAAGGGCCGGTGGTGGGGCCTCACCTTGAAGTGGGGGACTCGACTGGGCCTGTGGGTTTTGAGCCTTGGCTTTTTCTGCGGCTCGATTCCGGACTATTCTGCAAAAGCCAAAGACACGTTATTAGTTATGGTTCTAATTTCCAATTTTTATATCTTCTGATCAAAACTGTTAAAAGGAATCTCAATAAAAAAAAAAGAAACGTTCATTTTTTAAATGATAATGAATAAGAATATAAGAATAAGAATATAAGAATAAGAATATAAGAATAAGAATATAAGAATGTGAACAATACATTGAACATTTGCTTAACGCTCACAATGGCAACTGTCAAAGCAGGGTTGATTATCTTCATATCTACCTTGTACTTTTTGAATGTTGATACAATGCATTTCGATAGAAAATCATTGACAATGATATTCTATAGTAAAATCACCAATAATGACATCAAATAGTAAAACCATTTATAATGCTTTCCTGTAGTAAAACCATTCATAATGATTTCCTATAATAAATCTATTTATAATGTTTTCCTATAGTAAAACTATTTATAATGATTTCCTATGATAAAATCTATTTATAAGGATTTCTTATAATAAAACAATTTATAATGATTTCCTATAATGAAACCGTTTACAATGATTTCCTATAGTAAAATCACCGATAACGATTTCCAATTGTAAAACCATCTATAAGGATTTGCTCTAGTAAAACCATTTATAAGGATTTCCAGTAATAAAAACCATTCATAATGATTTCTTCTATTAAAATCATTTATAATAATTTCCTATAACAAAAATCCATTTACAATGATTTCCTATAATAAAAAAAAATTCATAATGATTTCTTCTACTGAAACCATTTGTAATGATTTCCTATAACAAAATCCATTTACAATGATTTCCTATAATAAAAAAAAATCATAATGTTTTCATATGATAAAACAATTTACAATAATTTCTTATTTTAAACCCGTTTACAGTGATTTCCTATGGTAAAATCATTTACAATGATTTCCTATAGTAAAATTATTTATAATGATTTCCTATATTAAAATAATTTCCAATGAGTTCGTATATATGGTTTTCGTATTTGATGTGCCACTATATAATTAGAAGAGTTTTCGCGTTTCATTTAATGAACCCTATCCGTGATATCATGGCTTATAAAAAATATCGCCGTGAACATTTTTATCTATTGCAACCTGTGAATAATCTAAATAGTTTCATCTCTTGTTCAATAAACAAAGCCTGCTAATTTCAGTTTTATTTATTTTAAGACGAGGCCGTGTAGTTAGTCACAACCTCCCGCCTTTTGCTTACACTAGCCAGAGTCGAAAGACAATGAGAAAGAGAAGGGAGAGAGAGAAAGTAGAGAGAGAGAGAGAGAGAAAGTAGAGAGAGAGAGAGAGAGAAAGTAGAGAGAGAGAGAGAAAGTAGAGAGAGAGAGAAAATAGCGTCGACGTTGTCCGGACTGTTTTGATGACAATGGTCAATAATATCTGTACGGGACTAACACGAATATGGCGAGGGGTTCATTTGGCCACGGCCCAACTAGGTGGCTCCTCGGATCTTGAGTAAAAGGAATTCAGACAGGCTACAATTAGTTAAATTAGCTTAAAGCCTCTTCGTCCACACAACGTTCTCCATAACTATTGCCACTGCCGATGTATTTTCCCATCACTATCTCTGCTCCCAAATAACCTAAACTCCTCCCATTGCCTTCTCGATATTAAGGTTAGCTAAATGCGGGAAAAGAAAAAAAAAACAAAAAAAAAAAGTTTTGTGGGTGGTTACGATAGTGCTGAACAAGAATTACGAATAGGAATGTTTTCTGCCGTAAGAATCAACATATGAAATCTGATAGTTTTCCTTCATTTAACACTGATCATTGGCACCGTTGATGCAAATGTCTCAACCACTAGAGGATGATTTAAAGCTATTAAACGTATTTTAGACATGCACTTCTTTTACTTGATAGAGAAACTGAAGTAGAAAGATTGAGTTGTAAGGATTTTCCAAGAAAATAGTGAATGCTTTCCTTAAAAATCATCATAAAAAATCCCGAATTTTCACTAAATCTTCCCCCACAAAAACTTAAGACTAATCATAGAAATAATAAAGAAAAGGAACCCCTGGAAAAGCATGATCACCTACGCCAAGATAGACTGACTGATTTGGTTTTTACGGTTTATCAACCTTTTGCAGGTTATTTAAAATCAGACAATATTTTTAGACTTAAGATTTTTTTGTTGATAATAATGATTTTACTGAAACAATTTCTACTAATTAACCCATAGCTGAGTGGGAGAAAGAAGTGGTTGATTCAGATCTTTCCCATGGGTATTTGTGTATATAACGAACCCAACTGAAATTAAAAGCCGGCTCTACGATTCACAATTTCGAGCCGTTATCAATTACGCCACCTTCATATCCTAGCTTCTAATATTCCCAAGCGGTAATTGACCCGGCTTGACATTGCATAACTTCACTGGCCATACGAGAATCGCTGTTTCAACATGAAATGGCTGTAAGTCATCCACGCCTAGAAGAATCATGACATTAAAACAAAATCTATAGTAGATAAAACTTGTAATTTTATTCTGTCCGCAAGGAAGAGGTATTAGTCGAATTTAATATTCTCCCCCCAGTTGAACTTCAACTTCTGATGGACAGAACCCTGTCTTATATGCTTGAGGTCCTATTTATCTGAAACTTGAACTCGTGTATCAATTTGATTTTAAATGTCAACTGTACACTGGCATTCACGTTGTTTTGTTTTTTTTTATAAAATTAAATTCGTATATCTGTTTGTATTGGCATTACCTTGGGAATCGTTAGGTTTACTCAAATGTTCTATTTTTTGAGTAATCAATTTCCCATTCAAAGTATTTTTTAATAGAGTTCGTCCCAAGCAAGACAGTAAAGCCACCGGGACACAAGGGGTTAATGAGTGCGAAAGAAATAGAAAAAAAAGAAACATTATTAAGGAGAAAAAAAAACAAATGAAGATTAATCAGGAGGACGGACTGTAGACAGCGATTAACATTTTTGAAGATCAAAGTTGGCTGGAAATCCTGGAGCCGGAAAGGAGTTCCACAAGCGAGAAGTGCGAGAAAAGAAACTGTTAGCATAGAATTTACGTTACATCTAGCCAACTCGACTGTAAATTGATGAGACCTCGTCGCTTAGGTGCCACATCGAGGAACGATATTTATTCTGTTTTCTACAGAAATGTGGCACATGGCCGAAAAGGGGATTGGGGAAAGAACAGTCTTCAGAACAGCGAAGAGCTCACCCGAACAATTACTATGAAATTATTTATAGGAAAATCACAGGGAGGCACCTTTATGGCGGTGGGAAAGAGACTGAAGCCGAGACGCCATATCAGGACTAATAATATTGCTGATTCTTCTTTGGATTTTATCAAGGATCTCTAGATAGATAGCGGGAGCACCAGACCATATGTGGAAGCAATATTCTAAGCATGGACGAAACACTATTGACATACATTTTTTTCATTCTTGTCATAAGGAGTGTGCAGCACAATATATTTTATGCACAATGTCTTAACTAACCTAGTACGGTAGAATTTTATAGCAGTATGTTGAAAATATACGCGGAAACCTCACTAATGTTGAAGAATGGGATAGATTTTACAGAAAAAAACCCTTTTTCAACGTAGTTTACGTCCTTGTCAATGCACTTAAACAAACCCTTCCCCATTAAGAACAGATAGAATCTCATACCGTGACATTTTCAAATTGAACTTCCCCAAATAGCAGTACCGTGCCGCGAGCTTATTAATCCATCTTTTAAATTAAATTAGTTTCAGCCGATCTATTCTATTGCCTTCTTCAAGTGTATAATCCCGAGGGATAATTATCTTGGCAATTACTCTCACTGTTCTTACGGTAAAACTCATTAAAGTCCCCAACTTTGTAAATTTGTACATCTGAGGACTCAAAGTAAATCCCAAAGTGTAGAATTTATAATGATTTCAAATAGTATTGGTGCAAAGCAAAGTGTACGACGGCCCCACTGAGGATCAAGTTTAAGGTCTTCTGGATGAGTTGGCTAACCATTATTCTTCGATGAAAGCCGTCATATCCCTGGATTAATGGGTACTGTAAGAACCAAAAAAAAAGGTTCTCCTGTTGTTAGCAGAGAAGGTAGAATTCTTAATTACTTGCACGTGTGACGGTTTAAGTGAGATGAAGAAAGAGACGCAGGGAAAATTAAGTTGGTAGAAATTATTAGTCATTTAGAGAAAAGAACGAAAAGAAAAAAAAATAGTTGACAGAGGGGGGGGGTAAAATTCAAGAATGAAATTGATCAATTATATACAAAATTAGATTTTTATTGGTGTATGTGTGTACGAGTGTGTGGGTGCGGTTGGTCGGGCGATGCAATTTTGAACAGTGTCTGCTTGTTTGCCTTGCACATGTGTTTATTCCTGCCAATATAAACAAAATATTTCTATCGTTAAATCCTCACTGATTACATTTTAGAGGAATTCCTTTGTGGCTGAGAGAGTTGCGTATCTCCTACTGCTGCCAATGGGCGGTACCCGAGCTCAAAGTATTAAAATGCTGTTTTTTTTTTCTCTTTCAAGTAAGGCAAACCACCCCACTTTGGCGTCTGTCACAATGTCATCTTTTTAATCTTTTATACCGTCATCTGGCTTTGTAATAGACATTTAAGCTACGTATCCCCCTCAGAGGATTGACTTTTTACCAGATTTATATATGTCTGGCTATCATAATGGCTTTTTTAGCAAAACTACGCCAAATTCGTCAGAATGTTTGATTTGTGGTTTTTTTTTTTTTTTCTACGGCTTATCAACAATTTGTTCAAAGTCAAAATATATTTGTGGTTGTAAAAATGATTCTATTTTATTGTTAGCGGGTGAATATTGCATTAATTTTTTTTTTAATAATAACAATGATTTTCCAGATACAAATCCTACTGAACAAGGCCAGTACGCTGAAACCCTCGTTCACGATGACTTGTGACTTCATGCTAGCACAATACCGCTGACAGCTACCAAAATACTTACACTCACAAGGCTTGCGTCAAATCGTAACATGGTTTTTAGAGACTTTCCAAATATGCCGTACGCTGAGATCGCCTCCCCAGACCGATATATATATATATATATATATATATATATATATATATATATATATATATGTGTGTGTGTGTGGGGGAAAATGGGGGAAAGAGATGGATTTATAACTTTTTCAATGGTATTTGCGCGTAATTGAATGTAGCGAAGCTGTCTTTGGTTGAATAGACATGGTTTCGGCAATCCCTTATACACACACACACATTATATATATATATATATATATATATATATATATATAAGTGTCAAATGCATATGCAAATACATCTATAATACGTATATATGTATATACATATACATGCATGCAGAAATATATTATACAAATATTTGTGTGCATAGTGGGTAACTGAACGAAAAACTGTAAAAAAAAAAAAAAAATCCTACCTTACACATTTCGACCCGCGAAGGGATTTATACAAAACGCGCATAAAAACGCTAGGAGAGTTTAATCCCTACTGGATACGCCATTAATATTAAAGAGATAAGAAAGATTGAGGGTGTGTGGGAGAGAGAGAGAGAGAGAGGCTAAGCTAATCTTAGTTATAAAGACGTGCCGAGTGCGAAGGGACAACTCTTCTTCTTAGAATGGTATTATGGAATTTTACCTGTTAATGGAACTGACGCTCGGAACATTGTCTTGGCTACAGATATTCTCTGATAATAAACGATCGCGAATCTCCCAGGCAAACATGGTCGGATTTTCTTGCTTATATTTTGAAATGGCCTCTACAACTTTTGGGGTGGCTACTTTGGGCTTCGAACCGCCGATTACGCCTGGTTTTATAGACCCAGTTTCATAATACCTGCAAATAGAAAAGAAAGAAATTCATTAAAATGAGGACATGTATAAGAATTTCGGAATGAACATCAAATAATGTGAAATGTCAATAAAAGCGAGCGGGGTCGTTTATCAATACAACATGTTTCAACTTTCTTAAAGCTTCATCAGAGAATGAGATATGGCGAAAAAGAAGAAAAGAATCAAATAACTCAAAAGTAAAAATAACAAAATTATTTTTCCAAAAATGTTGAAGTTTTAATAACATTAATCGATAAAAGTTTTCTTTTCGTTTTTTATATATATATATATATATATATATATATATATATATATATATATAGTGTATTTTCGTAACATAGTGATTTCCCACCTGGTGAAACGTTAGAAAAAATTTTTAACGTTGAAACAAGATGTACAGTTTTGTAGTGGGTATGTGCATGTTCTAATGTAACACTGCATTATATATATATATATATATATATATATATATATAAAAGTGAACATATAAGTCAACACTTAGAGGCGACAGTCTGTTTCATGCTAGATGCAATCGTTGTGACCTGATGATTGCATCTAGCATGAAACAGAATGTCGCCTCTAAGTTTTGACTTCTATGTTCACTTTTATATTTACACACGCTTTATCTCTGATATTGAGCACTTTTATACCATAAATATAGCACTATATTAAGACTATATTTCTTCATATATATATATATATATATATATATATATATATATATAAATAAATGGCGAATCTATAAACCATAAACAGTCCCAGTAAACAGAACTATGAATTGGGCGAGAAGTGAAAAGATAAACTGAATGCGAAGGACGGAGAATGGTGGGGAGAGGATAAGCGTCATGAAAAAAAAAAAGGAACCATATTGCATGTAATTAATCAGTTGTTGATGAGGGAATATTTCTCTGATTAGAAACAAGAGTCTTCTCATGCAAGTTGAGGAAGTGATGAGGGTTGAGGGAGAAATGTCCATCATTGGATTTATGCAGTGACTGAAAGTCAAAAAAAAAAAAAAATGTATTTTGCTACTGGGCATAGGAAGTGTAGGCGGTTGTGTTAAATTTCATCGGGAAAGCCTATTTGAATGAAAGGTCATATTTCCCACCAACTGAAAATACAGGATGGATGGAGAGACTAGCATTACATACACACACAGACATATTATATATATATACACGCACACACACACTCAAATATGCATAGACAGACATACACGTGTATATATATATATATATATATATATATACATACACACACACATATATATATCTATGCATACACACATATCTAAAATATATATATATATATATATATATATATATCATAAACACACACATATATATATATATATATATATATATATATATATATATATATATATATATTTATATAAAAATATTTATATACACATTCATTATTATTTTACGACATTATAGCAAAACCTGTTGCTATTTTGTAGTGATCAAAACATGTTTTTTTTTTTTTTTTTAAATAAATTTATTTCCTGTGTTGGGTGCTTTTAAATTTTTTTAAAATATTGGTCTACTTTGTTTTGTGTACTAAGTAAATGTTATGAACAGCGGAGTTTTACTGCATCTATTCTTTCTCTCATATATTTAAATACACACACACATTATATATATATATATATATATATATATATATATATATATATATATATGTGTGTGTGTGTGTAATGAATAAAATCCGACAATTATTTTTTTAATAATTTTATAAAAAAGAATGTATAAACATAAAAATATCTTTAAAATATATATATATATACACACACATATATATATATATATATATATATATATATATATATATATATATATATATATATTTATGCACACATATATATAAATATATATACACATACATATAAATAGACACATATACACCCCATATGCGCGCAAACACAAACATTATATATATATATATATATATATATATATATATGTACACACTCCAGTATTACTCGATATTAACTGCTTAAGGAGAACGGCAAAAATGGCTAATGATATCATAAATTTTTCCCGGGACTTCTCATTTTCCTCTACATAGTGTGCTTGTTATATGGTGAAGTCTCAGAAAAATGCAACATTTTCACCTTCTGGTACTTTTAGTGGTTTGTCTTCATACCATTTTTCTTTATGGGAAACATTATGATATTCTTATATCTTCCAATGAAGTTATTTCATTACCTTATCATGTCTATATTTATATTCGTTTGTGGCACCTAGATGATCAATAATCTTCCCAGCGTTAGTACATAGTACATTCATTAATATATGTGCCTGGTAGGATCTTTTTTGTAGGTTTTGATCTTGAGCGGCTAGAATAAATCCTCCTGTTTACAGCCTCAAGCCCGATCTAAGCAATCATTGATGGGTCGGATTATTGTCAACATCAGTGTGTTGCGCATGCAACGAGTGGCGGCCATGTAAGTGTTTCTCTTCCGTTATGATTTTCAGATTGGCTAGGCCCTTAATTTTGGCATTTATTTTTATTTTATTTCAATCAATTCGCTCCAAACAATGCGACAGTGCTACTAAAACGCAAGGAGTTACTAGGAATGACATAGAATGGGAAAAAGTTTAGAAGGAAAAATCCACTCCTGTTCAAAAGACCGCGGAGAAGTGTAAACCGGACGATATGCGAATCTATCTACTTCAGTTAATTTTTGTTTGATGTTTTTTGGCTTCTATTTTTTTCATCTAATTTTTTTTTCAAGAATGAAAATTTCAAACAATATCTGTAACTATACAGTTATAGATATTGTTTGGAACTTTCATCTTGCTTTATCGTCGTATTATTAACAACAACAATAATCAAAATGACGTAATTCATCCGATATTTGGAACACGCCCGGAATGCCGCAATTTCGAGAAAGGAAAAAACATATTGTTTAATACTATTTCGACACTATATCTGCCTTCGTCAATTTATACATAAAGCAATAATGCATTCAAGTATAAAAACAAAGTATTCATTTTTTTATGTATAAGTTGAAGACAGGCATGCATACTGTAAAAATATTGTTAAACCTTGTTAAAAAACTGTTTTTTTCTTTTTTGGAAATCGCACCCTTCTGGAAGCGTTGCATTATTATTATTATTATTATTATCGTTGTTGTTGTTGTTGTCTATTTGTTATTAGCTGGCTTTGTACTTATTAAATATCAACCTACATCCTGCAGCCTCATGTACTCGGTACTTTTCTAACTTGTGTTGTTCTAAGCAAGCAGGCCTTCCGTAGCCAATAAAATCTCATTGGCAAATGTAATACTTTTCAGACAATGTTCACCATTTTCTGACTATTCCTTACGCTCCGATTACACTAGGAAAAATCTCTACTTTTTTTGAAATAGCATATACTCATGATTTTGGACTTTAAGTCTATATAGTTCTCCAGTGTCTCTCCCCCTTTCTCGATTACTTTGCTTTTCAAACGGATAAGTAATATCAATATAGCAACAAACTCCGTCTTTTTTGCCGGGAACATCTATATCCAAATGTTCAATGAATTTTTCCGCTTCAATTTTCATGTTCCACAAAATAATAATAATAATAATAGTAAATTTCTAGTAATTAACATTTAGCACCTTATTTATGATTCTACAGTTTACCAGAAAGATAGCCTAATCACATCTGGACACATGTATCACTACGCAAAGCGGCCAGCGCAACCTTTTGATGATTTCAACAAAGCCATCCAATAAACCAGACGATTAACTATTTCTTTCTCTCCGTCTTTGTCCGACTGGAATATATCTGTGAGTTCGATGGCTGTCATCCAATGTAAGCTTTAATAGTGTTGTTTTTAACTCTGTTCACCTCACTGGGCAAATCACTATGTGAAAAAGATTTCTTTAACAAACATAAAACACGAAATAACTACGTGGCCATTAATGACCTTACTATTCAAAGATCCATTAATGAGATCACGGATTGTACATCGAATCATATCATTTTAACCTCATCACTTCAGACAGATTATCTTTTAGGAGACAGGAAAACGTTTCACATATTCACCATCGTCAGTCTCGTGACCGGATGTGGTCGTAGGGTGGTTGTGCAGATGAGCAACTGACCAGTCCCCTACATATATCTGGAGTGAAATCCGGAGAGTTATTCATTCGTGCATAGTATGTCTTGTGTAGGTAGGCCGAGTGGGGCCCTTTCTTCCCCAGGTCAACCCACAACCGATGTCCTCCAATCTGAAAGTTCTCCTTGGTCACGGAAAGGTTGCCGTTGATTCCATCAGGGGAACCCTCAAACTCTTCACCGTTTAGTTCAGTCTAGGAAGAACATCTCCTACTCAGAGATACCGTGTTATCACCTGCACTATCTGCATACAACGAATCAAGGATGCGACAAGTGGTATTAGGTTACATGCTAACAACAGCATCCGTAGAGTAAACTAATTTTTTTTACAGTGTGGTTTACCATGTACAAGATCCGGAGGCTACTCAAGCTAGAGGGTTACAGAGTAAAAGGCAAAGTGGATAGATTAAGAAAGTGGTTAACCATAGACTTCAACAGTTTAAGATTTTAGTGATTGAGGAAACGACTTCTTGGGAATCGGTTCCATGGAGCAAAGGTTTCCTGGAAAAAGCTACTCGAGTGGAACTTACTTCTCAAGAATGGAACACAGAGGGAATGAGCGTGATTTCCTACAATGTATGCAAACTACTAATTAATTATAATTAACTTTTTTTTTCAAATATTCAGTTGGCTTAACCATTCCAAGAAGAATCGTAGCTTATGGTGTGAAAAGGCAGCACTTGGTCGCTTGAATATATATGCACTACAAAAATTCTTCTTTAAAAATAGCCAAGTACAAGATGCTTTGTTCAAATCTAGTAAATAAATAAATAAATGAAA